CCATCCCATATATTGCAGCCGAGGTCATGACCTCAGGACGAACCCAAGCCATCATATTCATGAAACTCTTCCTCCACGGATGCCTTGTCACCTCCAACAATGATTCGCATGTAGCAAAAGCCTGCTCCATCAACCCCAATCTAACTCTAAATGATGCAACCGACACGGAATCAGCAGACCGAGATACAGCAAAGGCATGAACACGCAATGTCACGAATCTCAATCTAACCAAATGGGCGAGGCCTGATACACCTTCATCGGGACCATCAAAACATCCAGAGAAAACCATACCGGCGATGGCATACTCCAGGATCACACAATCTGAAGGTACCACAGGCCACTGGCCAAGCCGGAAACCCTCCTCCGGCGCGTCGCGCACCCGCAGGCGCAACGAGCACCTCTTCTCCCTCTCTGCCTCGTGCAGAGCCGCTACGTCCAACGCCCCCTCTCCCTCGCCGGAGATCCTCACGTCGCGCATGACCAACTCCGCGAGGTCCCGGCGGTCGCCGTCGCTCAAACACCACGTGCTATCATCCACCTCGAAGCACACATCCTCTCTCCTCCTAGCCTCGCCCTTCGCCGCGCGCCTCGATTTGGAGGCGCCGCCGCTGCCGCTAGGGCTCGGCGCGTCGGGCTCCGCGGCAGCGGCAGCGCCGGGGCCTAGGCCTACCGCCCGGGCCGGCCGCGATTTCCTCCTCCCCATGCGCGATCCCAGCAGATTAATCGAGCATCCGATCCGGGTTTTAGCTCTCCGGAAGTAGAATTGGGGGGAGCCTCACGCCCTCACCAAATCAAAACAAAAAAAAATCTCCAAAACCTAGCAATGATTCGTGGATTGGAGCTCGCGAGGTCGAGCAGGAATGGAATTCGAGGGATGAGATGATGGGTGGATGAGGCGTCGCTCGAGAGATTGGATGGTGGCGGAGGATTGGAGGAGCTCGCCGCTGTTATCTTCTCGCGAGGGGTTTTAGGACGAACTGAAGAGGAAGGGGGAATGGGGACGAAGGGTAGTCCCGGTAAATTTTTGAAAGTGTCAAGGTTTTTTAGTCTCGATGGTGTTATGTTGTGAAAATGCAAAATTATTAGTGCTAAAAGTGTTAAAGGAAAGAAGGTGGCCTTAAATTGGTGAATAATAATCCTCTAAATACCAAGAATGCCCTTCGCTAATTAAATCAAGAAGCAATCAGCAAGGTTTCGGAGTGCGAGCGGGTTCTAGGGTTCTAGCACTGCAACGGCAGCGGGAGAGAGATGAAAAATCAAATGGATAAAAGTTGTGCACTATTAGCAAGGAAAATAACATTGCCTTGTCTATAATATACATTTGATTCTAATAAAATCTATCACTTCACAACACTTGATTTTGTAAACCCCGGATGTGATACCGGTTTAAAACAGCAGTATATGCATAAATAGACGTCATATACTTTCTTTACAAAATAAAAAAAATGATTTTCTCGCATATCATCTACTTCCTACCTCCATCTCCCTTCTCCCTTAATGTTATATCTCATCTTTTCATTGAGAAGGTTTTCAATCCATTTTCAACAAAAAAAATCTTAGATGCACAACCTAAAATCAACTTAACACCCTCTTTTCTATTACAAAACATGGTCCTCGTATATTACCTTGTTTTAGCGGTGATGGTATACTATGAGTCTATCCCCGAAAAAAACTGAGTCTACAACAAATAACAAAAGAAAGAAGAAAATCACCTTCTTCTCAAACAGAGTATTTGAGAGTCATCTGACTTCAGTGTTTACCCAATACCTTGAAAATAGGAGAAAGACATAGAGTAAAGAAGGAGAAGTTATAGAGGAGTCGTGATGACGTACAGGTTAAGAAAAGGATAAGCAATAAGGTTGTGTTTAGATCCAAGGGTGAAAAGTTTTGGCATGTCACATAGGTGTTGACAGAAAACACGTGGCCTGGGAGATCTGCTTAACTCCAGTGCAGGTCCAAAGCTCGTCTTTGGATGTATTAGCGTGCCAGTTGATTTGATCCTGTAATCAACAAGAAATAGAAGCAAAGAAACCGTAGTTAAATCTATAAATGATAGCCGATCGGCTAGATGCCGATGACATATCATTTATCTTTGGGCCGATGTCATCCATGTATCGATCGGCAGTCATGAATACGTAAAGAAGAACTAAATCTACTCGATCGGCTGTAGATATTAACAATATATAATCCTTATATCGATATATACTTAAATCAAGTGATTGGGATAGATCGGTCGCCATACCGAGACAGTATAAATCACTTGGATCGAAATATATATTAATAATTAGACTATATACGTTCATAGCATAGCCGATCAGATAGATCTAGCATGTATCGGCTAATACTCCGATACCACTCTATGTTAAGATGTTAAAGCAAGTAGAATATACTAAACAAAAGCCTAATATACTTAAATGCGGCAAGATCTTAACGCAAAGGGCAGATTTAACATGTCAATCAAGCATATAGGATAAAGAGTAGTTAAATCAGATACGATCGGCTGAAACTCCGATGCTATTCTAATCGGCAACTAGAAGGCAGGCTAGGGATTGATATTCTAAGCACGACTTAATAGATCAAACTTAACTGATGCAGCATTAAGTATGAAAAGAAAAATAATATCTAGACAATCAAGCCGCTAGAAGTCTCATGGAACGGTAGATGTCTCATATAATCTAGACCAATATCAATATTTAACCTAATCGGCTACCCTCTATTGACAGATATTAACCGACGGTAGGTTAGATGATGATATTGCTAGAGATTATGTAAAACATATGATAACTCGACGAATTACATAAACAAGATTAGAATGTCATAAAGATGGAAGCACTAATCCCGAGAACGCAAGCCGCCATAACAAGTTTACCTCTTGTTGAAGATAGAAACCGATGCAGCTCAACCCGAAAGCAAGAACTCGTCGAAATAAAATGAAAGTAAAAAAGGGTGGCGATGCGCCGAAATTGTATTAAACATGTGTGTTTTATTACATAGGGCTCAGGGTCCATTTATACCCGAGGATTACAAGATATGCCCATATCGGACACAACCATTATCTCTAACAAACTCTAAGACACCACAAGTCTTTGCGGCAGACTTTTGCCCACACTTATCTATAAGGAATTCACATAAAATATCCTAGTTAATAGATACAATTGCCTTCCCAGGACTCTATCCATGCGTGGCAATCATCTTGAAGTACATTAACTTGAACCCGATGTCGCGCACAAGTCGTATTGTCGGAATCGGCAATATCGGCTTATTTAGCTCGACTCAGACTCAGCCGATCTTGTCGTAGCCGATCTGGACTTCAGCCGATTCCTGCCCTGTTTTCAAACTCGATCTCCGCTTCCGACTTTGCTTCGATCTAATCTTCTCTCCGATGCTGATGTTACCAAATTTGGTTGTCAACAATAGGATATACGGACACACGTTTGAAGTATTAAACGTAGACTAATAACAAAACAAATTACAGATTCCGCCTGTAAACTGCGAGACGAACTTATTAAGCCTAATTAATCTGTCGTTAGCAAATGTCTACTGTAGCACACATTGTTAAATCATGGAGCAATTGGGCTTAAAAGATTCATCTCGCAATTTACACGTAATTTGTGTAATTAGTTTTTTTTACTATATTTAATACTCCATGCATATTTTCAAACATTCGATGTGACGGGGTGAAAAATTTTTGCGTGGGAACTAAACATGGCCTAACACTAGCCTTCTCCCCTATCCTTTACTGACATTGAGGAGGTGGAGAGTAGTAGAGAGAAAAAAGAAGGCGGAGAGTGGGCTGTGTTTGAGGGTGAGGGGATTGAGAAGATTGGGAAGATATGCAAAACGAGGTGAGCCATTAGCGCATGATTAATTGAGTATTAACTATTTTAAATTTCAAAAATGGACTAATATGAATTTTTAAAGCAACTTTCATATAGAAATTTTTTTGCAAAAAAATACACCGTTTAGTAGTTTGGGAAGCGTGCGCGCGGAAAACGAGTGACAATCTCCCCAATCTCTCCCCAATCTCCTTTGAGGAGGAGGGGATTGAGGAGATTGGGAAGATACGTAAAACGAGGTGAGCCATTAGCTCATGATTAATTGATTATTAACTATTTTAAATTTCAAAAATGGATTAATGTGATTTTTTAAAAGAACTTTCCTATAGAAAATTTTTACAAAAAACGCACCATTTGGTTGTTTGGGAAGCTTGCACACGGAAAACGATGTGCTAAGTACATAGGAGGAAGAGGGATTGGCAGGAGTTTCTATTACTACAGGATAAATTTCTACTATTACATGTGTCACATGACTCACATGTAGGGTTTAAAAAAAAGTAGATGTAACTCATCCATTTTTTTAAAAAAAAAGAGTTGAAGGACATTAAATGTCTAGGTTTGAAGTTCATGATAAATTCCATCATACATCATTTTTTTTCCCTCTACGTGAGCAGCATTTAAATTATAAAAGCTATTAAACTATATTTATATCCATGTTTTCTAAACCTTTTAAAGAAATTCTCTTTCGCCATAATGACAATGCTGAGTATTCACACTTGAAACACAAACAAACAAATAAACAAGAGTGGTGATGGCGGACAAGATTAAGAAATGGCATCTATAATGGCACTCCTTAACTTACTTATCATATCCATTGCCATCAAGGAGTTGGAGAGAGGTAGAGAGGAAAGTGGAGTGGGAGAGAATATATTCTAGGAAGAATATGGATGTGCTTAGTTATTTAGAAGCCAACGCTAAAAAACAAATTGCGATGAAAAAAATATCATAAAATCAAATTTTAAAATTTAAATTCTGGTATCTGTTTATAAGCTATGAGGCAAACGATGTAACCTTAGAGTTTTAAAGAGAACGATGATAATTTGTCCGATTAAATATTCCTATCTAGGTTTAGAGTTCGTAATAAATTTGTCCATAAATCAAACTTTCCCCTTTCTGTAGCATCACTGGAGTTCAAATTGTAACGCAGATATTTAACCATATTTATGTTGTGTACTTAAAGTTTTACCAAAAGAAAGTTCCTTTTCACCGGGATCGTAAAGTGTTGTATTTACATTTAGATGCAGCACCATTACACCCGAAAATGAACAAAACAAACAACCTGTTGATCCACCAATATGAAACCTACCTAAATGAATCCGAATGAAATTCACTCTACCTATAAGAATTCCAACGACTGAAAATTCTGTCAAAATTCCAGCACCTGAATCTATCTCTAGTTCTCTACACTACTATGACTTGATCCTGATTGCTCCCATTCCAGTCGTCCCCTTGCTGTTGAGTATCCCCGGCAATGGCCAACCGGACCCTCTCAGCCTCGACCTCTTCAGCGCGCCGCTGCAATCCTCGTCTGAGTCATCGTCGCCGCCGTCGTCGTCGAGGTCGACGCAGACGCCTTTCCCTTTCCGGTCGTACAGCGCGGCGGCCTCCGGCGTCGTCCTCTCGGAGAAGCTCTCGTACAGGTCAGGCGAGTGCTGCCGGAACAGCAGGTCGCTCGCCGAGCCGTACCCCATCAGCCGGTGCAGGCTGGAGCCATGCTGCTGCGTCGCCGCCGCCGCCATCTCGTCGACGGTGTTGAACGACGAGTTCCTCGACACGTGCAGCGGCTGCTCGTCCTCCGTGGAGTAGCTCACGTCGACGTGGCCGAAGTCGTCCAGGAACGCGAACTTGTCGCCTCGCCGCCCGTGGCCGCGCGGCGCCGCCGGTGAGCCGTCGGCGCTGTACTGATCGCCGTGCTTCTTCCTGTCGGGGTCCCGGTAGGAGTAGCTGAGGACGGCGGAGCACGAGCCGCAACGCAGCTTGCGCACCGTCTTGGTCGAGACGGCGAAGTCGGCGGGCACCTGGACCAGCTTGAAGCAGCTGGAGCAGATGATGAACGGCGCGCCCTTGAGCACCGGCCGGCAATGGTTCCTGGGTGGCGCCCGCCGCTTGACGACCTCCTTTGCCGCCGCCGCCGCCGGCCGCCGCGGCGCAGGAGATTCTTGCGTTCTTGGCCTGCAGCAATGTTGTCCCCGGCAGCTGGTGCACGCTTGCTTGCCATGGTGAGGGGGGCAGCAACCGTGATGGCATGACGGCCCATGGCGCGCGTCGTGGCAGCACGGGTGATCAGCCCTGCACCGGCGGTAGCGCCGCGACGGCAAGCCACGTGGTGGAGGTGGAGCAGCGAGCTGACCAGGCTTGCCTGCACGAGCTATGTAGCCGGGACGGTGGACAGCTGCGTGACGCGCTCTGATGGCTTGGATGCTCGCCGCCGCCGCCATGGCCGCGTCGCGAGGAGCGTAGCCTTCTTGCCTGGGAAGACGAGGAGGGCGCGCGTGCGTCCTCGGCTTGTTCAGTTCAGGAGATTTACTGAAAAGTTCAGAGAGGTCGTCTTTCAGGTTGTCCACTGTCTTCAGGATCCTCTTCTGAAGCGGCGCCAAGCTTTCTGGTGATCGACGCGCATGGCCATGAGGAGGACTCGTCGCCGGATCATCCTCCCGTTTCAACACAGCCGGTGCAGGTTGTGAGTCTGGGGTTTGAACTGAACTTGGTGGAAGCTCGACGACATCGCGGCGTGGAGATTGGGATGTTTCCTCTGAACTTTTCTTGCCTTCAGCATCAGATTCAGTCTGGTCGCTTCGTTGAACATCTTGCAGTTCGGTGTTACTGTCTTCTCTACTCTCTGAAAATTGCACCTTGCCTTCAGATGCTCTGTCACTGCACTGTGCATCAGCTGCAGTAGCTGCATCTCCTCTTGTGAGATCTTCAGAATTGCCAACAGCTTGCTGACTGGTACTCTGAACATGCTCTTCCTCCTTCTCAGCTGGCACCACTCGCTCTGGCTCAGGAGCATTGTTCCTCGCCGACACGAGATCATCAGTCTCGCGTCGGCTTGTCATGTCAGCTCCTTGCTGCCCACTGCTGATTTGAGCTTCAGGAGTGGATCCACTGGTGCTTGCAACATCACTGGAGCCCAGGTGCTTGCTGTGAGGAGGCAGGCCACTCCCCAAAGAGGAGGGAGCACTGATCACCTCCTGTGAGTTGCCGGTGCGGTTTTTCGCTGCGTAAAAAAAGCAACAAAATCCGTCAGAGACTGACCAAAAGGCAAAAATCCAAGATCAAATTCTCGATCATGAGCAGTCATGGAGCTTGAATTCTTACCTCGGAGGGTAGTGCCGCATCCACCGCATTGGTACACCGGCGCGCCGGTGGGCTCCTGAAGAACACTGAAGCATTTGGGACACCTCACATGGCGAACCACTCTGGCGTCTGAGATTGCCATGAGCCGACAAGGCCACAGAACATCACTCGCATGCAGCAAAAGGTGTATCCGGCAGGTGCTAACCGATCAAGCTCGATGTCTGTGTTGGGAGACAGTTACAAGAAAAATACTCGTCAGTGTTCTGCTTCATCGAATCTGCAGTTTCTGACGGAAGAAGAGAGGAAATCCAGGAAATTTGTACTACTTGTGTGGAATTTTGTTGACTGATAATATATACTAATACATAGAACTTAGTTTACATGCGAATACAATAGTAAAGGAAAATGCCCGGTAAGCCTTAAGCACGTAAGCATCAAGAAGCGACATGTATGTTTGAACTTTGAACTGTTCGTCGAGGGCATTATGTAATTTTCTAAATTTAAAAACTAGTGGTGTATCAGAACTCTGATGATGTCATTAGTCCTAATTAACACAATAACTATAGCTACTAGTAGTAGTGGAGTACTATACAAGACGAAGTACAGGATTTAGACAGAATCTTCCTCAACAGAAAGTCACGGTTTTTGTGTGTGACCACGCACACAAGGTGTAAGCCACAGCAAATGAACGAACAGAACAGAAAGAGCCGGCTATTGGACACTACAAGCTGGTAGAAGATGCTTGCCCATTTCCAGTTAATTTCCAAAACCCTTGGTAATCCTAGGTACGTTATCTTTCGCATGATGAAAAACAATTAAGAAACCAAAAAACATTTCTGAAACCTTAAGAGAGAAAAAAAAAAGAACTTGCTGAGCTGATGCCTAAAAACTTGAAGTAGATGAAGAAAGCAGAGGAGGAAGAAGACAGTCGGGTACAGGAGCACCCACTCACCTATCTTTTGTTTTTTTTGGTTTCTCGCTTTCCCCTTCAGTTCCAGACGCTTCTCCTAGCTCCTGCTTCGATCTCTCCTGTTCCCAATCCTCAGAAACTACTCAATCCGATCCTCAAGCTCCAAATTTCCAAAATCAATCCTCAGAAGCTCCACGCTTCTCCTGCTCCAACTCCAATTCTTCCGGCTCTCTCTCAGATGCAGAGAGAAAGAGAGAGAGAGAGAGAGAGAGAGAGAGAGAGAGAGAGAGAGAGAGAGGGAGAAGAGACAGCTCCAATTCTTGGCAGTTATGGGTGCAGTGACGCCAGGAGAAACGATGCTGATATATATAAATAAAAATGGGAGCGTCGTGTGAAGAGGAAGGAGGAAGAAGCAGCTGAGGAAGCAAGAAATGATGGGGTTTGGGGTGATGTAAAAATGAAGCGGCGTGGTGGAGAAATATTTATATGCGATGGGGTGGAGAAGAAGTCTGACCGCTTCCGCGATAGCGAGTGGCTGGCTTTGGACTCCTCCTCCTCTTGGAGAAGAAGAGGAGGGCAGGGAGGGCCAGGTCGTTTGGTGCGACCGTGTCGCCGACGCCAGTCGCGAGTGCCACCGCGTCGTCATATCCAGCGCCCGCCCGCCGCTGCCTGCTGCTGCTGTGGCCTACTGGCTCGCTCGCTCGCTGTGGACTTCTGGATGCCACCGTGGCTACTGGCGCGCGTGTAGAGCGAGGGTTTTCTGGATGCCTCATGACGCGTGTGGTGGGGTAGCGGGAGCGGTTGCCGTCACGCGGCCACACGGCACGCGGCGCGGATGGGGAAGGGATCGTGCGTGCGCTGCCTTGTATCGTCTTTTTCTATGCCCTTTTCTCTGGCTCGTGTAATCGTACGTGTTGGCGGCTGCAGACGAGGAGTAAGGCCATCCACAATGGGTAGCCTCAGAGCGTGCCCCTGCTCACGGCGTCCGCCTCCCGTCCGCACACCGTGCCCTTGGAGGGGGGGCGCGACCCCCACGAGGGGGACGGCCGGCTCGGGCTCCTCCAATCTCCTTTTCCTGAGGCACGGCTCGAAGGAACCCGTTGTGGCGACCTCGGTGCCCCATTCCCCGCCTCATTCCCCTGCATTTTCCCTTCTTGCCCCCCCCTCTCTCACCTGGGCGTGGTGACGGAGCCGGCGCGGCCTCGTCGGTGTGGTGGATGGCGACGAGAGAGAGAAGCGGCGCCGGCCAGATCTAGCCCACCGGCAGCCGGATCTGGAAAGAGAGGCGGCAGCTTGGACGCCATCGGCCACCGCACCGCGCTCCTGCTCCCGCTCCCGCGCTCGCGCGCCGTCCAGCCTCCCACCGCTCGCCGTCGGCCAGATCGCCCCTCGCGCCGCTCGCCCGTCGACCAGCTCTCCGGCGTGCGCGGAGACGGGCGGCGGCCGGCGGCAGCCGAAGGGCGCGGAGGGAGCAGCGACGAGAGAGAGGGAGGGAGGCAGCCCTCCTTATCGCCTCGCGGCCGCCGGCGACGAGAGAGAGGCGAGCAGCGAGAGGGAGACAGAGAGGCGGGCGACAGCGGTGGCTGGGGAGAGAGGGAGATGGATGCAGGGCTGGGGATGGCGAGGAGGGAGGCGGCGGCGGTGGCTGGGGAGGGCGAGGAGGAAAGCGGCGGCGGCGAGCGGCAGGGGAAGAGAGGAGGGAGGTGGCGGCGGCAAGCTGGGAGGAGGCGGCGACGAATGGGCGACGAGGATAGCGATAAGAAGAAGCTAGAAGCCAAAAGTGGGGGAGGAAGAAAAGAGAAGGAAAAAAAAAAGAATGAGCTGGGGAGGGGTATTTGGGGATTTTTCACCTGGGACTCCATTGGGCCAAGACACCCATTGTGGGCTATAGTACTCTCACCGGGTTGTTTTAGATTTTGAGGAACCCATTTAGGGATACCTTCTATTGCGAATTGAGTTTCCTACGAGTGTCCTCAGTTAGTGAGGATACTCTATGAGTGTCTCACATTGTATATGTGAGTACTCCTACTTTATTCTCCTGTTTTAAACAGGTCAAGAAAATAAAATTGGTTAGTACGAGAACTATTTATTTGCAACAAATTGTACTAGTGTGTACCAACTGGAGTCCGGAATCGTGTGCATAGCACAGACAAAGCAAGTTTTGCAGACACACGCAATCATTAGAAAAAAAAAACGCCGCGGCCAAACAGAACAGCAATAACCGCATGAAGCATGTTCCTTGCTTAAACAAAGAAGAAAAGCGCAAGCATGCCGTTTCACATCCATACGTGGAGCAAGCGAGCTAGAGAGACCAACCCACTTTCAATGGGCAGCGATCACTTACACGAGGAAAATAAAAAGGCAACGATATGTGTATGATGGTCTTTGACCTCGTGCAGAGCTAGCTAGCTCTATCTATCTCTTGGCATCGTACCTGTGTACTATAGGACTATCTACGTGTGTGCGCAGTGAGCATAGAAAACGAAGTGCCGTTGATAGTTTTGGTCGTGATGTTGTTGCCGCATGCCGGTGCGACAAATATCACATAGGAGGCTCAGGAAGGCATGGACCGATGGACGGTTCGGCCAAATGAATGAGCCGATAGCCACAGCGTTCGGCTATCATGATCATGAAACGAAAAAGGCGTTTCTTGGCTGCAGGTAGGCACCGTCGGTGTACACATGGCAGCTAGAGCGGCTCGTTCTCGTACGGCCTCGTACTAGTACGCAACGTACGTGTGGCCGCGGGCGGCGCCGGTGCCGGCCGCCTCTGCGACTGCACGGTGCGACTGTGCGAGCTTCACCAACCTGCAGCTATCGACCTACTTCTCCTTACCAACCGGTTCGCGCGCGGCATGGCACGAGGAAAAATAGTTTTAATTACTTGTTTACTAGTATCTTTTCTAAAAGAAAAAGAAGATAGATTAATGTGCAACATTTATATAAATTATAACAAACATATAAATTAGACTTTAATAGTATATGTATATTCATCTTTTTTATAACTTGTAAATGCCGAATTTAAACTTATACTTCCTCCGTCCCAAAATATAAGGGATTCTGGGTGGATGTGATACTTCTTAGTACTACGAATCTGATTAAGAAACCTGTTAAGATTCGTAGTGCTAGGATATGTCACATCCACCCAAAATCCCTTATATTATGTGGCGGAGGGAGTATGTTTTTACAATAATATATTAGTACATACTAGTAATATACTCCTTCCGTATTTTAATGTATAACGCCGTTGACTTTTCGACCAACGTTTGATCATTCGTTTTATTTAAAAATTTTGTGTGAATATGAAAATATTTATGTCATGCTTAAAGAACATTTGATGACGAATCAAATCACAATAAAATAAATGATAATTATATAAATTTTTTGAATAAGACGAATGGTCAAACGTTGAAAAAAAGTAAACGGCGTCATACATTAAAATATGGAGGGAATATTTCTTAAAATTAAGTACACGAGTGTACGTTCACTGAGTTTTCCTACTCCTATATGCTTTCCTAGCGAATACGCCTATCAGGATAGAGGTGAAAGTGAAACGTGAGCGGGGCCCAAAGATGCTGGGCTTGGCGACTCGGTTTTCCGGCTCTGAAGTGACGGTTTTTTACGCGCCAATTCTCTCGCGCGGATCACAGAAACACGCGGGCAGATAGAGAAGAGAAAGAGACCCGGCTGCGACGAGTCTAACTGCCAACCTGGCAGCACTTCCAGCAAGCGGAAGAGGGTCGGTCATATTTATCCCATAATATGGCTAATTTTTTTTAGAAAAAAAGGGAAATGAGTAAACGACCTGGCGGCGCGGTTAGTCGGGCCCACCACCCACCCACTGGGGAGTGGGCCCTCCCTCCCGCATACACGTTGCAGCTGGACGCGGCGTTCACACCAACTCAACGTGCGCCAATTCGGAAGGAGCACCCATCTTTCCCCTTTCTCCTTCTCCTCCTCCTACTCCCAGCCGCTCACTCGAACCCCCCCCCCCACCTTCCTTGCCGCCGCTGCCCCGAGGGCGCGGGAGATAACCTCGCCGGAGCACCGCCACCGCCGCTGTCGATCTTCTTCCCCGAGGCAAAGCCAGGAGGTCTCTACCTCTCTCTCTCTCTCTCTCTCTGAATTCGTCGCCCCGTTTCTCAGCTTGCTTTAATTTGTGTGAAATTTGAGTTGATCGATATTGCTTCGTGTTTCGGTTTCTTGATGTGGATTTGGTCCTTTAGGATGATTCTTCTCCCTTTTTTTTTGTCAGTGGAAATGTTGTGCTTTCCTCCCGCATCTCATGTGCTTCTCCTGAATGAATCCTAGGGTTGATTTGTCGAGCCAGGTTTTCCAGTTTTCCATTTTTGTTTTGAGCAATCGGTTAAATTCAGGTCGGAAGGGAGCTCCCCTACCGCCGATTCCTCAAGCTTCTTACATTGAACAGATGATTTCGATGTGGAGATGTGGTTGGGAGAGGGAGAAGAGCTTGTGCCTTTTAGACTGAGCTTTGCATGCTTAATGGGAATATCAATTGGATGAAAATGATCCCTGATCGGGACACCATTCTCGGTTGATTTTTTGTTCAGGCGTTCAGCAAAATGCTGGTAGCGAACTATTGTTTATGAATTATGAGATTAACTAGGGATTAGTGTGTACAATTATCAGTAACAGGAGGCGTTGACCATCATAGTGTAGCTACGATGACCATCATAGTGTAGCTACGATTATAGTAGATTCTTGAGCTAATTTTTAGGCTGAATGCATAGTCCCTGCTTTATTAGAGGTAGGACATTGGTTGAAGCAGGGCGGAAGCTTTTTACTCTAGAAATTTAGAGGTAGACTTTATGAATCTAAAGGTCAACTGGAACCCAAAGGTTTAGGTTGTAAAGTTAGATGCTCTTTGATTGCTTTTCTATGACTCTAATATGTGCATTCTGATAGACTGCAACGGCCAGCTGACTGGCATTTTTTACTTTGAAACATATTTCTACTAGATACTGTGATTGATTGTGATTTTGCTTTATTGTGCCATTCAGAACTAAATGCAATATTTAGCATCAGATATCTGCATATGTATAATTCCAAACAAAGTAAAAACTGAAAGGAAAAATGTTCCCAAAAGAATTCAGAATAACTTTCTAAACTTCCCATGCAAATGATTTTTTTCCCCTGTAAATTAACTAGTTCCACAAAAAAGAATCCCTGTCTAGCCCTTATAAAACCTGTTGTTCAGTATGTTCTCTCTTTCCTATAGAGATAAGACTAACACCATATTCATTTTGCTTCCAGTCTAGACAAACTCAGCTTCATGAGTTCAAGTTCAGGAAAAGCACTGGCATCCAGCATCTCCTATTCAGCAGGAAAGAGCAGCATTTTCTTGCTCTGCCTCTTTGCAGGATACTTGGGAATTCCTGGCCGAAAATTCCACTTGCTCAAGACCGTTTGCAGCACTGCATCTCCTTCCATCATTGGAAGTTGTGGAGGGAACCTTCTTTAGACTACTTTAGCACAAGTCTTCAGTTTCTATTAGTGTGGAAGCTTGGCCTGCAAAACCAGCAACCTTAGCTACGTAGTAGGCCTTTGGATGATGGTTTCTTCTCAGACATCCTCTCTGACAAGAACTATCGCACAGGACCCCGAGCTCTTCACAGCAAAAATAATTCTCCCAATGGGTCCCCCGGATGTTATCTCTGAAAATGATGAGTTTGATTTCTCTGATGTTTTTGGCACCACTCCAGTTCAGACGCCAACAGGCATTTCGGTAGCTGGTCCAGACAGTCCTGCACCTTTGGCTGAGTCCAATGAGGGGGTTTACAATGATCCTATTGTCATCATCAAGCGATCTCATTCTCTTGTTGGTCCAACATCACTTGTTAGCCAGTCCCTGCGACTTAGCAATCTCACTCTAAATAAAACAGAGGGGTCATCAGAACCTGCAGAAGAAAAGGAAAGGAACCTAGGGCAGCTCAGTGATGAAGAGTTTGACAATGCCACAACAGAAAATGAAGGTATTGGGCTTGATGACTTTGAAATCTTGAAGCTTGTAGGCCAAGGGGCATTTGGGAAAGTCTTTCAGGTGAGAAAGAAAGGTACTTCAGAGATATACGCGATGAAAGTTATGAGGAAGGATAAGATCTTGGAAAAGAACCATGCGGAGTACATGAAAGCCGAAAGAGATATATTAACAAAAGTTGACCATCCTTTTGTAGTGCAGCTCAGGTACTCCTTTCAGGTACGTGTGTACATCAATGTTCTTATCTCTATGTTGAAATCACTTTTAGTGATATCTTAGTACCTATGTTTGAACACAGACAAAATATCGACTTTATCTTGTCCTGGACTTCATAAATGGGGGACATCTCTTCTTCCAGCTCTACAAGCAAGGATTGTTCAGGTGACTGTATACTTCTAGCTAGTACTTTTGTCTGTCAAAAGAAAATGTTTCCGGCCCTATAACTCAACCGTTTTGTTTAACAGGGAGGAACTTGCACGGATCTATACTGCTGAAATTGTATCTGCTGTAGCTCACCTTCACGACAACGGGATTATGCATAGAGATCTCAAGCCTGAAAATATCCTTTTGGATGCTGATGGCCATGTAAGAATGCCTTCTTCAACAATCTCCTCCTGCTACTTCTTTTCCATTTTGCTGATATCTTTTTTGTTGCCTCATTTCAAGGCCATGCTCACTGACTTTGGCCTTGCCAAAGAATTTAATGAGAATACAAGATCAAACTCGATGTGTGGAACAGTTGAGTATATGGCCCCAGAGATTATTCTTGGTCGGGGGCATGATAAGGCAGCTGACTGGTGGAGTGTTGGAATCCTCCTCTTTGAAATGCTCACGGGAAAGGTGTGCTGCCAACTTGCATGAGAGGGTAATCTTCCCATTTGCATTCATTCATTGCTAAATAATCCCTTACTCTTTGCAACACGCTGCAGCCTCCGTTTGTTGGGAACAGGGATAAAGTTCAGCAGAAGATAGTGAAAGAGAAGCTGAAGCTTCCATCGTTTTTGTCCAGTGAAGCTCATTCCCTCTTGAAAGGAGTAAGTTTCTTAATGCATTCGATCACAGTATCAAATTCCTATGTTGTGTTTCTTATCTGAAAAAGATGGCAATCCGTTGTCCATTTCAGCTGCTCCACAAAGAAGGTGGCAAGCGGCTAGGAAGCGGTCCGGGCGGCAGCGATGAGATAAAGAGGCACAAATGGCTCAAACCGATCAACTGGAGGAAGCTGGAGGCCCGGCAGATCCAGCCGAGCTTCCGACCCAACGTGAGCGGGCTCACCTGCATCGCCAACTTCGACGAGTGCTGGACCAGCATGCCGGTGCTGGACTCGCCGGTGGCCACCCCTGTCGCCGGCGGCGCCGGCCACAGCAGCTTCGCCGGGTTCACCTACGTCAGGCCGGCTCCGTTCCTCCAGGATGTCAAGCCTCCCTCTTCCTCTAGGCTGAAAGACTAGCTAGCAGCCAGTGCGAGTGAAGAAACGGATGAACCAAGAGCAAGGGGAAAGAGGCGAAGGGTAGGAAGTTACTACTAAAATATCTGTAAAAGGACAACTGGTCCATGTGAATGCACTTCCGGAGCTAATCTACCCAGGAGATATGATCCATTTGCTCAGACCCTGAAACTGATACCCAATTTCAATCACAAGTTCACAACACACAACCTAGTTTGCTTGGTCGTGTTGTTGCATTCGCGGTCAAAATCACCCTATGATAGACTAAATGCCATCGGCATTTACATGACCAAAACTAGGTCCAAAACTGGCCACACAAGAGTACAAGATAGAGCAAAATCATTTCTCACACAATATAGCAGCTCACTGAATAGACAAATCCAAAGCTTCGACTTATGTTCAGGCCTTCCGCCGACCAACTTGTGCGACAAATCCAGCCTTGATTGGAGCAACAGACCTCGACGATCCACACTAGACAGAATAGGCAAATGTTGATTCAGTGGCAAGCAAAATAACGAGAGAATATTCGGTTTTCATCCAACAAATGTTTTAAAATGTTTCAGTGGCAAAGTGTTTTTTAGTCCTCCCTCTAATTCTACTATCTGTTGTACTCTCCTTAAACCCCGTGACTTTGAGCAATGAAATTCAGGTGGGGAATCTCTCCCCTGCGGTGACTTGTTAAAAAAATGTTTTAAAATGAAGATTGCCTTAGAAGTCAGAACTTTGCAGATAATATCATATTCCTTTACTCAAACAATGTAGGCTAGGCAAACTATTATGCAGCTCATCATAGGCTAACAAGCAAAGAGTGAAAGTTGACAGCAGCTAGCAGGTACAAAGAATGAGGGTAACAAATTGTTTTCTGTGCACTATAGAAAATTCAGATGCTCGCAAGTCTGTTTCTGTAGTCAAACAGAAAGCAAGAATATACTTATGTACAGAGGAGATTGGCGAAAAAACTACTACCTCCTATCCAGATTCATTGTATTAGGATGTGTCACATCCACCCGAAATCCCTTATATTATAGGATGGAGGGAGCAGTAAACAATAGGAGATAATAGATGTCACAAATTTGCAACGTTGTTTAAGCCTCAGTTGTTGCTTTTTTATCATGAATTTGTTTGTCAAACAATGTAGGCAATAATGTTGCAACTCATCATTGGCAGAACCATAGGGAATAGATGGTAAAATGAAATTTTAAAAAACAAAAGGCAATTAACTAATGTTTTCACAGAGGAGTGATCGCTCATGCCGAAGCAAACTGGATGTAACTGAACATGCACAAGCAGATAATCAGACGGCATTTACCTGTTCGCAGCGAAGGAAGAACAGACGATTTTCCTTGGATAGAATGGTATCAGGGCTTTTGCAACCATTGCAAATGACGTACTCATCTGAAAGGTTTAAAGACGCAATAAGTTGCATATAACCCTTGAAATCTTAAGTCAACTAACACTAACAAAACAGTAAACAACAAACGTACAACTTATGATAGTTTACCACACATGAAAAAGGGGAAGCTCATCTGTTCAACCAAGGGAATGAAGTAGGATAACTTACTGATATATCTCCGCAGGATTGCTTCGAAGTTTTTCGGAGCAAATCTTCCTTTGATCACCAACCTTTGCTGCCCATCAAGTGATCCACTTGTCCCCATTTCAGCAAGCAAAAACATCATCACATGCTCAGGTTGCCTATGCATCCTGGTAAATAATTTCCGGTTAGTTCATCACAGCTTTATCCATTGTAAGAGCATTCAATAGAATATCAAATACAAAATACAATCCAAATGGTGAAAAAGCGCACGTTTTGCACAAGTCCATAAAATTCACAAAAACTGTCTTCTTCGTGCCCTCTCGAAGAACCTGTGGCGGCCTCATGACAGTTCTGCGTCTGTCTCCAGCAAGATCTGGATTGTTTTCACGCAGAATATTGAACACTCTGCCCAGAAGCTGCAACAAAAATACCCAAATCAGGTTTTCACACGCACTACAGTAATTTGGTCATTCTGTGCTAGTTCTGGATGACAGTTGTTTCTGTTTCACAATGTTGTTTGAGACTAAAGGATATTGAGTTGCATGCTAGTTCAGTATAGAATTAGACCCACAAAGCCAGAGGAAAAAGTAAGTAAAATTAATAAAGATTATCCAAAGCAAATTTTAATGCTCTCAAAACATCGCGTGACAGCAGTACATGAACAATACATTGGAACAAATAGGTGTGGTTGTAAGAGCATGAAAACAGTCAAAACACAAAATTATGGTGCATGCAAAGCTTTGGAAAATTTACCAAAAGATTACTGAATAATGTGTTGTCTGCACAAGGAAATAATGAAAAGAGGAAAATAAATGAGGAGAAATATATAATAGTAGAAGCACCTCATCATAATTGTAGTCCCTATCAGTTCCCTCCCACGGGTACCTAGGGGCACCTCCAAGCACAATTCCTTCCCCTTCTTCCTCCTCTACAACTTGGTCATCTGGAAAGCAGGAGTCAGTAAGGACAAAGAATAAACTGTCAAGAGTAAGTAATCAAGGATTAATCCTATACCTAAAATGTCCTCCCCATCACCAATGTCATTAATAGACAAATCAAGATCCACCTGAAATTTTCAGTAATGTGAAGCTCAATTCAATCTGTACCTCTCAAACACACACAAATAATACAAAATGTTGATCTCACAGGTTCAAGCACAAATAATACAAAATGTTAATCTCACAGGTTTCTTCTTCTTCTTTTTCATCCCAGTGAAGTTGAGCTCACCAGGCTCTGTGACTAAGGAATAAAATGGTACAAATTAGCAAAGATATTCCCGTGGCATAATATTTTTTTCTACGCTACATTAAGAATACCTGTCAGGTTTTCTGTCTTCTCTGCCAGCTTGTCCACCTCATCAGAAGGATCTTGGATAACAACCTTCTTCTTTTTCTTCTTCTTGGTTGGGTCAAAAGGAGTAAGCTGTAGAATATGAACAATGCAAATAAATAAACGGAGCAACGGAGAAGACGTGGAAAATCTATAGAAGTTTTACACAACCATCAGTAAGAAATATAAGATATAGCACTTAATAACTTCTCAGACAACGTAATCTATCACAACTTTTTTAATATTTACTCCATGAAGAAGGGGAAAGAAGCTGAGGAGTAAGCACTGGCTGGTATCCTGGTACTGGTTTCAGATAAGGCCGGTAGCCTCTGGACAGGCAGAACATGATATAATGCTGTTCGTTCGTCAAATATATAATCACTTATCACGAAACCAGAGTCAAAATGCGCCCCTTATATCATGCTATGTTGTTGCAATGCGTTGTTCATATGCTACGAATCCCTCGCCCATGCGTTCTGAAATGGGAACTACACATAAACCAAGTGACCAACCCCTGATGCTAGTGTCTCTAGCCTCTAGAATGAATCAAGTCCAAACCCTAATTCCAATCGACAGCAAACTTCTAGCTCGAAACCCTCCGAATGGAACCGCTCTTAACGAAACCCCAAATCCGCATGAACAGCACCGAACCGATTAGGGGCGATTGGGGAGCACGTTGCCTCACCTCGGAGACCTCCTCCCGCTTCTCCGCGTGCTCCTCGTCCGCCATGGTTGCCGCCCGCCAAGCCTCACCTCACCTCACCTCCTCCGCCGGTCGCGATCGAATCCCCTGCAAGGCACGAACACGACGGCAGAAGGATCAGATCCAACCGAAGGAAGAAAGCGCGCGGCGCCGACGATCCTATCGATGCGCGACTCGCACCCTGAGCTCTCGCCGGAGGAGAGCGCGGCGGCGACGGCGGCGGCGGCGTGGATTCGGGTGGTAGGGTTTTTCCCGGAGGAATCCTTGCGCCTTTAGCTTTACTACTGGTCTCGCCCGTGCAAAATTATGGGAACACAGGGACTCTAGTGAGAAAAGTCACTCCGTGTGATCAATCCTGGCCGTCTAAATTTGATCCAACGGTTCGCTGTCAATGGTGGCGATCTAAGTTGAGCGTGGAGCTTTGTACAGTGGGAAAATTTTTGGGAAAATGCGAGGGGCTTAAGAGAAATAGTTCACTTTGGATCGAACGAATGCAAGATTCTACACTGATTTGAAAGGAAGGGTGTGCTTAGTTCACGTCAAAATTGGAAGTTTGGTTAAAATTGAAATGATGTGATGAAAAAGTTGAAAGTTTGTGTGTGTGTAAGAAAGTTTTGATGTGATGGAAAAGTTGAAAGTTAAAGTTTGGAACTAAACTCGGCCGAAATAATGAAATCACACCACAAAATGCACAATTCCAACAATCAAAATTCCCAGAGAAAAAAATCCTACACTTGTCAAGAATCAAGAATTCAAGACTCATAAGTTCCAATCAGAATATGCTCAGCTTTCTGAGGCTGCATCTAATGTCGACCATGTTTAGCATGAACTCAATCACAAATTAGCTAAGAATCAAATGATCTGCAACTCGCAGCTTGGTGAGGCATATGAACACAGGAGCACATAACTAAACCGATGGTGGATTGGAGTCCTTCATCTTTTCATCAGAGGAAGCTCGGCTCTCTGAAGCAGAATGGCGCAGTCCCTCGATCATCCTGATCACATCCTCCATCGATGGGCGTCGATCTGGAGACCTTGATGTGCAAGCCATTGCTATCTGGAGCATCTGAACAAGCTCCTCCTCGATGTTTTGCTGCTTGATCAGCTCGACGTCGAACACCTCGGCTGTCCACTCCTCTCTGACCACCGAGTGCACCCATCTTGGTAGGTCGACGACATCGTCATTGCCCTGCGACTGGAGTGGAGCTTTACCGGTAAGCATCTCCATGAGGAGGACGCCGAAGCTGTAGACGTCGGATTTCTGGGTGATCTTGCGGTTCTCGATGGTCTCAGGAGCGCGATAACCGACCACAACGCGAGATGCATTGGCTGGAACACTCATCAGGGCAGTTAGACCATAGTCTGAAACATAAGAACTGTAATCTTGATCGAGGAGGATATTTGTAGACTTAATATTGCCATGGGTGAGCTTGGCGCCACCTTCTGCATGAACGTGTGCAATGCCGTATGCTGTTCCAAGGATTATCTTCACTCTGGTGCTCCAGTCTAATGGTGTCTTTTCAGTAACACCCCTGATACCTGCCGAATGTTCATCAGCAAATCAGTACAAAATACTACCAACTGAAAGTTAACTATTCACATTTATTTAACACAAGTTTCATTTCTGAGTATGAGCATTTTTTTAGTGTGCAGGAGGGCTGTACAACTTTCTATTGATACAAGAAAATATGATTAGACTCCCTACTTAAGCTAGCTACAGAAGGAATATGGATGCAGCTTTAGGCAAGTTCAGCTGTAGTGAAAAATTAAAATCACTAATATCCTGTGTTAGTTTAAACTTTATTAACATCGCATGGATATATCAGTTTACAAATTTTAAACTTAATCAGTGTAGGCGTTCACCTTTTAACTAATGTGGGACTCTTCTTATGTTTACTCATTAGCCACCGCAGCTATGAGTCTATACATGTACCAGTGTCTTGCAAAAAGGATGAAAGGAAGAAAAGCATACCATGTAACTTGGTTGAGAAACTGCCATTGGTGAGATAATCGTAGACGATGAGCTTCTCGTCCTTAGAATAGTAGTAAGCACGAAGTGGGACTAAGTTTGCATGTTTACCTAACCTACCAATTAGTTCCATCTGTTGCTCAAACTCTTTTTTTCCTGCCACGACATCTTTTAGTCTCTTGACAACAACAACGGTACCATCCTCAAGTATAGCTTTGTAAGCAGTTCCATAACTTCCCTTGCCAAGGACTTCTGCAGAAGCTCTCAGTAGATCCTCCAAATCGAAGGTATAGGAGCAACCCTCCAAGAAAACCAACTTGTTTTTCTCGGCGATCTGAACGCCACTACTGAACTCCTGTTTTGGCTTCTCACTTCTGACACCAGTGCCCTTACCCTTGTAGTCCACACCACTCTCTTTCTTGCCTTTCCTCTTTGAATTACACACAACCAACACAACCACAACAAACATCAGTACTGCGAAGCCCCCAACAGCAACTGCAATTATGAATCCGGCGCCAAACTTTTTCTCATGATGCGCTGACATTGGAGTTGGTGCTGATGAAGGGGATGCTGGTGAAGGCGTCGGTGAATCAGGAAGCAAGCATTTAGCTAGAGGTGGCCCACATAATCCAGGATTCCCCAAGAATGAGCCATTTGGAAATGTTTGAAGCGACTGAGGAATTTGGCCTTTCAAATCATTGTTGCTCAGATTCAATAGTCTCAGACTTGGAAGCTTGAGATCAGGGATGGATCCAGAGAGAGAATTTTCTTGTAAATTCAGGACTGATAACTGAGAAAGGTTTTGTAAGCTTATAGGAATTTCACCGGTAAAGGAATTGTAGGAGAGGTCCACTACACTGAGGTTAGGATTCAAAAAGGAAGGCAAATCTCCTGAAAAGTTATTGTGCTGAAGGTATATGGATCGTAAGGAAGGAAGCGTAGTCACATCAGATGGAAGGCTTCCAGCTAAACGATTAGACCGTAAGCTCAGAACTTGGAGAGAGTCAAGCTTTCCAAGAGTGTTTGGAGGAATTGCTCCAATGAGACCAGCACCTGGTACCCTTAATTCAAATATGTGTGACTGATCTCCTGAGCATTTTACGCCATGCCAAGAACACAATGATGTGCTTTGACTCCAGTTGAGCCTGTTGCCACGATACACTGCAGAGGCAAAGTCTAGAAGGGCTTGCTTTTCAGAGGTTAAGTCTGCTACAGACAAGGGATTGAACAACAAAAGTGACAACTGCAGTGAGAGCAGAAGAGACAAAGGATTTCTAATACTGAGATGATCCATTTGATGAATCTCCAAATCAGGGAACTAGACGAGCAGCATCTTCGTTTGTTTATGTCAGATAAGTAGCCGATCCTGTTGAAATAAAAGTAGCGAGCATTCAGTGATAACAGTTAAAACAACTGCACTAAGATTTCAATCGTAGCTCCAAATAAGAACCGCATTTCATCAGAAGATAGCAAATAAAGGTTACCAATCATTCCTTGTATGCTTCTAAAGTGCCCAAAAGGGAACAGAGAGCTTATGTGAATCAAGCATGAATGTGTAAAACATGGTGGAGCAGCATAAACATGCTTTTCTTTCTAGTGCGTGACACATTGACAGACAAAAGATCCAGGACACTTTGGAAAAGAAGTAAATTGCATCAATATGTAATAATTACAGATTTCCCATTCCAAACATGTGTAGCTTGCATCTTTCAGTGGTAAGATTTACATGAGGCCCGGTTTTACTATCTCTCTAGGGGGAACCAGAAACCAGGCATTTAGATTAGAGTACTAAGCAAGTCATGGTTCTCAATGACTCTGTGCCAATGTCAAGAACATGAACATGAAATTGACACATGGTAAAAAATTCCACCCTCAAAGGATGGCGCCCATTAAAGTCTGAAGACAAGAAAACATGCCCTAAAAAATTGTGGGCAGAAAGTAATGGGGAAGAAGGAAAAAGAATAGGAAAATGATACGGTCAGCACACAAAAGCCAAAAGCATAACCAAAGCAGGGAGAAAAGATGAGGGCAAGAACAAAGCTGAACCCATCATAAGTTCATAACCCCACAAAGATGAGCATATCACATCATGTATTTACTGTTTGCTACTTGCTTAGATGAAATACTAGTAAACTAGCCTAGATGAGCCTAGCATCAGGCATAGAATGCTTACACTGGCAACGCAGTAGTACTGGCCGAACCGAACTAATTTATCATGCAACAGCTTTCTGCATTCTTAGGAGCAAAATGGAGCAACTTTCTGGGCGCCAAATGCGGCATTTGAGCAACTTGATTAGAGAAGCCACTAGGCAAATTTGAAACGAAAAGAGGAAGCAATAAAGGCAAAACCGAAGCTAATGGAAGATTGAATATGGGAAGGTGGCAACGACTGATAGATTTCTAGTAGGAGTTATGTGGGAAACTGCTGCACATGGCAATGTGGGTGCAGATTTACTACATTGTTTACTGACTACAAGATCTGGAGCAGTACATGATTTCTTCATCTGCACTTAAAGAGAACCCAATTTATTAATCACGGACGACAAATGAATAATGTGCAGTGCTCCAAAGTCCAAAGCCCAAGCTCAGAGGTCAGCATCCAGTTGTTTGCAAGGATCCACACATTTCTAACTTGTACTAGCATCCAACCCCAAATGAAAACTCAGCATTCAGACCGGAATTCCAGGAAGCCAGGCGCCCAGACTTATGTATACCGTATAGATCAAGTAACTCAATTCTGAACTCTTTTTTTTTTTTTTGCGGGGAAACTCAATTCTGAACTAGAGCAGGAACATCGTAAAGAGAAATTACAACATTATTATTGCCTCTGGTTACCTTGCTAGATCCGCCACGCAAGCAAGTATGCAACGAGAACAAGAGCTGGAGCTCAAGAAAAGATCCAGTCTCTGAACATTTCGAGCTAGGAAAAACAGCAAGATTGAAACAAAAAAGAGTAAATTTAATGGAATAATATTGCGGATAAGTCTCCTCTATTATTTGTCCGTTCCGTAGCACAGACAAAGGAAATAGGAGTTCTAGCTTCTAGGACGGAAAAGAATGTTATCCATCAAATTCACCTGAAACGGCGGCGTGCAGTGTAACTGAGCAGTGAGCATCAATCAGCTAGAAATAGGACGAATGTTGCAAGAATTCCTAGAAGGAAAATTAAGTAAAATTGGGTTTCGACGAAGTAAATGAATGAAGAAAACCTGGAAGGACGAGCAAAGAATCGATCTTTCCACCCCAAAAATGGTACGGTCCCGCTCATAATTACTCGCACGAAGCGTACAGCTGAAACTCGAAATGTAAGGGCATAATCCGAAACGGTCGCCGCTAAAAAAAAAAAAACGTTTCCCCCCTGAAAAATACCTTGTCAATCTGAAGAAGAACTCGTAACAACGCGACCTGAAACTGAAAGAACTCTACGGGAGCAGGGCGGCAACCAAACCAGAATAGCAGGAGATGAATGCGAAGGAGGAGCGTCGGGGTACCTCCACGGCGGCGGCGGCTCGTCGCCGGTCTGTACAGCACAGCACAGCCCACGGAATCCCGTGAAATGCGCGCCTGCAGTTGCGGTCGCTAGGGCGGCGCTCCCGCTTCCCTCGGCACGGCAGTAGCTGGGGTAGTTGATCCAACCCACACACACCCCTCCCTTCGCGGTCGCAGCAGAGTAGTGTGGTAAAAAGCGAGAGACCGAGACCGAGAGCGTGTGTGAAGTGTGAAGAGAGAGGACTTCGCTTGCGGCCAGCACAGGAGAGAGAGACGGAAAGGAGGCGCATTTATGGCGAGGAATGAAACAAGGCCAGCAACGCAGTAGTATGGATCCACCACTGTACTCTCTTGCTTACAAATCACTCTCCCCTCTTTTGTAGCAGTAGCAGTAGTAGTACTACTGATAAATGCAAGTGTAAATGCTGTTTTGTTTTGTTTTCCCCTTCTTTTTCGATTCTACTTTATGGTTGTGTTTAGTTAACACTGAAGTTTAAAAGTTTAGTTAAAATTGATACAATATGATAAAAATATTGTGTGGGTATGAAAGGTTTGATGTGATGGAAATTTGAAAGTTTGAAAAAAAAAACTTGGAACTAAACAGGGCCTATGTAATACTGACAAATGGAAATGGAAATGGAAAAAAATAAATTTAAGGGTTTGTTTTTTACTCCAACTTCATAATTTTCTAATCATTTTCATGCGTATGTTTTCCGAACTATTAAATAATATATTTTAAAAAAATCTATAAAAAATTGCTTTAGAAATTATATTAATCAATTTTTCATTTTTTAAACTGATACTTAATTAATTATTTGTTTTCAGTGCTTTGTTTTATGCGCTGAACTCAACAAGGCTGTCGTAAGAAGAACTACGCTTAGTTTTGATGGGTTATTTGACTTTTCTGGTAATATTCGACAGTATAAATGAATAAATTTATTTACAAAGTTGAAATCTTTGTTTAATAAATGTGTTTTATAAACTTTATATATAAATTCTTTAAAAAAATATACGTTTTAGTAGACTTGGAAAGAGTGCCCGTGATTAAAATGGGGCCTTTGAGTAACTTTGCATTTCAAGAATGAAAAACAGCCCGGTACAAGTACATAAAGTCGAGAAATGATTGAAATTGGTGGTGGGGTTTTTTTTTCTATAAGTGGGCAAAAGTATTACTAGTATACCATTGGCAAAAAAAAAACGCAAGTATCAAATAGGATTATGATTTGTATATCGTTCAATCTACACCATCGATGTCATCCGAGATCCGACTGCTACAGCTATCATTGGAGAGTAGTATCTGAGAATAAACACAGATGAACAAACATCTCTGGACTTGATCTATTCTCTCCCGTGTAGCAGATTGCAACGGTTAGAGTAATTGCGAAATAGCAATGCATGTCGTGCAACGTACAGATGCCTCTAGTAATGAGATGGTCCCTGCAATAAGTAAGGGCTCCTTATGGACAAAGTAAAAAAACTAAAAATAGAGGATTGTTTTATTGAAATCCCACGAAAAAATTTTCTAGTTGTGTATTTGGAACAAAAGAATAGGTATTTAAGATTCCTACTAAAATCCTATGTAATGGCTTTATTTATGGAAATTTTTAGGATTTCTGGACCTCGTGAGAAACTTTCGTTATATCTATATTTCTCCCTGAATTATATGCTTTTCCTATGAAGCATCCAAACAATAAGTTCTAACAATTCATGTGTTTTAGAATATCCAAAGATTCATCTAAACATGCCATTTCGATTCCTTTGTTTTTCTGTTACTATGTTTTTCATCTACTAGTTCCTTTGGAGAATTGGAGGCATGCTCACTTATGCAATTTTGTTCAACTGTCGTTGCAGGATCTTGCTGGAGCGGTGCCTTAGAAAAGAAACATGACAAGGATCTACTGAGTTGTCACTGTCTCAACCCGACAATAATAGAGGTACAGTGTCAGTACGGTAGACCGAATTTCAGTTCAACAAAGCATTACTTGTTCTTAAAAAAAAGAAACAAAGCATTACTGCTACTACCTCCGTCCCAAATCCGCGGTTTTGCACTTTTTATATTCAATGTTTAACCATCCGTTTTATTTTTTAAAAATATGAATGGTATTTTTATTATTATTGGATGATAAAATATGAATAGTACGTTATGGGTGACTGTTTTTTAAAATTCGTTATCATATTTTTTTAAAATAAGATGGACGATTGAACTTTGGACACGGGAACCCACAACTGCTCTTAGGGTGTCTTTAGTTCACACTAAAATTGAAAAATTGGCTGAAATTGGAAACAGAAAAAAGTCATAAATTTATGTGTATAGAAAAGTTTTGATGTGATGGAAAAGTTTAAAGTTTGAAAAAAAAAGCTTGCAACTAAACACGGTGTTAAATTGGGAGGGAGGCAGGAGTACTAGTATATATACTATAACTCCTCCTGTCCCATTTTAAACGTAGCTATGAATTTTCGTATTCAACTTTAATCGTCCGCCTTATTTATTTTTTAAAAAAAACTAAAAAAACATAAGTTACACATAAATTACTATTTATTTCATCATCTAACAACAATAAAATATTAACCATAAAAAATTAAAATAAAACAGAAAATTAAAATTGGATGGGAAAACTTATTGTTGTGCTTAAAATGGGACGGTGGAGTACTATGTTACAGATGTGTTGGTTGGCTCCATCAGTGTGTTGTCATCTCTTCACGGTTTTTGTCAATTCGTAAAAATTATTCTATTTTTATTCTTTTTCCTAATATTGGCTGTATTAGTATGCTCTTAGGAGAGTTTGCAACAGGTTCAAAATATTCAGGTTATGACACAAGCACCCACCTAACCATGTTCTATATCTACTTTGACTAAATGCCAATGCGTTTTTTTATTCCATACACATGCCTTTCACTCGCGTGAACGGTAGTCAAATTTGATACTAGCACACGGGTGTGAGAATTTTGTTAAGAATAAATGTTTTAACGCTACTGCTATCTAGTATTTCCTCTCACAGCGAGGTCAGTTGGGTTTAACCACTTTTCCGTTCAAAAAAAAGGGTTTAACCACTTTGAAAAGTTTCTGTCAATTTGAAAGAAATATTTTTATTTTTTTCCTATTATTGGTTGTATTAGCATGCTCTGGTGAGGGTTTGTAATTTGGGTTCAAGTTTTTTCGGAACCCTCCACCCCCTACCCCCAAAAAAGTCATTTATTTTCCATTTTGTGAATTTCGCTAAATTTATTTAAATTTGATTTTTTTTCCTTCAAATTTTAAAGAATGCATTCTAAAAATTTGATCCGGTGGATTTGTGCGTACCGAAATAGTATATCATGGCTATGAGAAACAACATAATGATTGTGTGCACTGAGAAGGGAATTTCGGATGTCATGAAAAAGTATATATATTCTCACGTTTTTAGCAAACGAACCTAAGTACTCTCTCTATTTCATATTATAAGTCATTTGACTTTTTTTAGTCAAAGTTTTTTAGATTAATTAAATTTATAAAAAATAGCAACATGTACAATATCAAATTAGTTTCATTAAATCTAACATTAAATATATTTTAATAGTATGTTTATTTTATTAAAAATATTATTATATTTTTTACAAACTCGGTCAAACCAATAAAATGTTTGACTATGAAAAAAATTAAACGACTTATAATATGAAATGGATGGAGTAATTCACTATTTTTTATTCAGGTTATGACACAAGCACCCACTAACCATGTTTGTCTTCTATATCTACTTTGACTAAATGCCATTACGTTTTATATTCCATACACATGCCTTTCACTCGCGTGAACGGCAGTCAAATTCGAGCAGCACACAGGTATGAGAATTTTGCTGTGAAGAAATGTTTCACCAGTACTATTATCTATTTCCTCTCACGGCGTGGTCAATGGGTTTAACCACTTTGACAGAGAAATGGCTTGGACTAGCTTCTTGGACAAGATGTGCTTAATCACGAATCTTGTTTTATTGCAAGCCATGTCGCTTTTGTCCTGTCCTGGAGGTGATGGAAACGATTTTTGATCCAATTATCGCAAGGTGACGTCGAATTCAGGTTGCCGTCATTGCTGTGACTGAAAAATAACAAAACATGTCTGATGTCCCTGCAATCCTGCATAGACTTTTCAGAGAAAAAGAACTTGCGTTAGGAAACAAAGAGGAAATTGATGTGTATTGTGCTTGACTGTTCTTCTGGAATCTGCACCGAAAAAAGCAGTTTAACGCTGTATGGTTGGAAGCAGAAGTTGAGCCAACAGGCAACAGCCAGCCAGTGATTGGATCAATGCAGAAATGCAGCAGTGGGCAGTATAGGCACATGCAATTGGCGTCTGCTGACAGTGTGGAATCTTCTGCTTCTGCAGCCAGGGTCTACTACTTACTAATCCAGAGTTTGTTATACTACTATTAGGTTTGTGTTTATCTCAGCTTTGTTTATCATTTCCATGATTCCATCGTCAGGGTTCAGTTCATTGTGGGGCAGCTACCTAAGCTAGCAGTTTCATCAGAAGATCAGCAGAAGAAAACAAGTCACAGGCTGCTACAAGCCAAGAACCTGCAGGTATAAGGCCATTGGAAGATGTGGTCAACACAAGGCTAACAATATTATTATCCCAATTGGCCACTGTTTTGTAGCTGGTTCAGTGTCAATGCAGCCAAAAGCATGCTTGCAAGAAACAGCATACGGCCTCCATCTTGAAAGACACTTATCTCTCAAAAGGAATTATTAATATGTAGCATATAATATCTGCAGCTGCAAGCGTAGTGCCGATACGTATGCTGCTTGCATTGTCATCTTGCAGCTGTTTGGCATGTAGGTCGATCCGTATGCTCATATTTTGTGATATACTGATATGTGCTGCTCATGTGATGCAGTGGACCACTGGTACATGCTAGGTACGTATGTACGTGTATTATGTCGTCTGTAGTACATAACATGACAGTTATTCAGTTAACCATCATTATTTTTACCAGGCCTAATCGCACGGAATAGTACCACAAGAGCAGAGCCAGCCACCGAGTGAGAGTGGTCCGACGACCAGTAATTAATTTTTGGCTTTGTTAGTTAGGCTGTGTTTAGTTTCACGTTAAAATTATAAGTTTAAAAAAATTAAAATAATGTGATGGAAAAATTAAAAGTTTGTGTACGTAGAAAAGTTCGATGTGACGAAAAAGCTGAAAGTTCGAAGAAAAAAATTTAAAATCTAAACAGGGCCTTAGTTTCAGTAGCGGTGGAGTAGGTACTGCGGGCTGCATCACTAGTGTTGAACGATAATACTGTAAGTACGGAGTATTATTCAATCTGCAACAGGATGTTGTTGTGTTGCTGGTAGAATCACATCGCCCATTATTGCACTGTCAGTAATGCGTTTCATCCACACTACAGTGAAAACGGGAAGGAGGTGAGGTAAAAAGATGGGACGTGCTACGCTGAGGCTCCACTTCTGTTACGATCTCGTCGAAATGTGATAAAAGGGCGCGTGCGGGCCGGATCTAGATTGGACGCCGTTGCGCTGCGGCAAGCCGGCAACGGGCCGTGTGCGTGGCCTGGCCTAACAAGTGAAAGCAGTAGAATCAGGCCTGCTGGTACCAGATGGATGGGCTCACATCACATTAGGCTTGCTCGCTTGTATCTACTTCCTCCATTCAATCATTTCCTACATTTATATTGATGTTAATAAATATAGATATATATATATATATAATGTTAGAATGACTTACATTATAAAACGGAGGGAGTACATTGCAAGCAGTAGAAATTGTGAAATTGTGTGCGTTTGCTGCTGTGCAGGCGTGCAGCCGCAACGATCTCTCCCTTTAAAAAGAAGGGATTTGCAGAAAAGAAAACAAGAGAATATTCTATCCTTTTTTTCCTCCAAAACCTTTAACTTTCTGACCGTTTGATCGCTTCAATAATTTTGCAAAGGAGGAGACAGGAGTCGAGCTCCAAGTCCAGACCTAGTAGGTACAGGCATATCGCAGTAGCCAACTGGCCACACGCTTAGTTATGTTCGATCACGTACCACTTACAGTATATATAAATTATAGTGCATTCGAACTATATTAATGTGATTACACTTTAGTTAAACTATAATTATGTTTGAAATTTGAAAGTTTTTCATAAAAAAATTATCGAAAGTTGCGTAGATACTCCCTGCAAGAAGAAGAAAAAAGAGGGGAAAAAAAGGCAGCCTGCGTGCCATTGTAAAGCTTGGAGACCAAAAACTGGAGCTGTTGGATCATGTCTCAGGCCGGCCCCTACCCAACTTTTTGTCATCAACCAACTTTTTTCCTTCCTCACAATCAATGAATCAAAGCCACCTGCAATTTCCCTGTTAATTACTCCCTCCATTGCTCCTTTATGCTCGCCCGGCGAGCCGGGGGATGCTTCTTTTGCTACCTTGTCTGCATGCTGTTCCTGGATATCACGGCAGCAATATATGCACAGATGTTCTTCTTCCCCAACACTGGCATCCCGTCCGTTCAGCTAATTGTTCCTCACAAAATGTCTTCTCTGTGTGGCTGCCATCCTCTGAAGATTCTGATTAAACAAGTCGTTCTCGTCATGGCAATCTCTGTACACATGCCTACGTCTCAAGGCAGCAACAGCCAACAACCTAACAACAGTGCTCTTCCTTTACCTCCTCGATGGACCAGTGACCACCAACAAACAACTTGGATCGATCCATTCTGCCTAGCTAGATTGCTAGCTATAGCTACTAGCTTTTGGTCCCTGCACTGCATCTGCATGCATGATCTATGTCATCTGTGTTTAATTTGAAATAACAGCCATGATCGATCTCCACGACCATAATGTATCGGATCTAGGAGGCGCATTATCGCTGACACAAACACCATATGGACATCGATCAATTGATTAACAAACTCCCCGCCTGTCTGCCGGCCAGTATGCCATTGCAAGTGTAGCTTGGATAGTGGCTTCTTCTGTTCATGGTTCAGTTCATTCTTATTTAGTTTTCAAGATTTGCTCCGGTCCATAAAAAAATATCTCGAGGTACCGATACCTCACGGTACTAAATTGTTCCCGATCATTGGATTTAGCTGGACAAGATGTGTATTGTTAGATCCAACGAACGAAAATGACTTAGTACCGTGAGGTACTAGTACCTCGTGGTATTTTTTATTGTACCGGAGCAGATCTTTTGTTTTCCTATTTGCTGCTCAGTGGTAGCACCTCCAGTAAGCACCACCGAATCTCTTTTTTTTCCCAGTGGAAAACTAATGCAGGGTTTGACCTCTAGCTAGCCATAGCTGCTGCACTCCTGTCACAAAAACCAAAGTTTTCCCATCGATCTTGGGCCAGTTGACGACGCATGCAGCAGGGTTTATCTTATCGTTTGGGCCGGGGTTATCGCCACTCCGCGGTAGCGCGATAACCGTGATAATCGTGCGATAATCGTCTAAAATCGCACAAAAATCACATCCAAAAATTTGAATTCAAAACTCGTCGGTTTCGCGGTTTCACCACGATAATCGCACGGTTTACCGCGATAACCGCGATATTCGCATTGTTATCGCGGGCTGTGTAGCTGAAATCATGTAAATGTAAAATAAATAGGATAAAAAAAAAATCAAAAATACGGTTAAATATGTGTAGAAAACTAGAAATTGAGAATAATTGGAAGAATATGTAGGATACTTAAGGCCCAATATCCTCTTATTTTTTCAATTTGTAAACCATTTTTGGTTTTACCCTCAAATTTGAATTTAGCTTACTCTATTTCAAAAAAATTCTTCACCATTGGCAATTACAAATCAAGAACTATATCCATGAATTTTTTCAGTTTTTTTTTATTTTTTTCCGGAATTTTGAATTTGGTCAAAATTCATCCAAACATATCGCCGGTTTCCCCTATCGTACCCCTGTGATAAGCGCGATAACCGTGATAATCGCGCGATTATCGTGCGATAAGTGAAACCCTGGCATGCAGGATCAGACACAATCTCATGTCTGCATCGATCGTTCTCATTGTTGGATCATTCATGCGGATTAGTACATGTGTGCTTACACAATTTACACGCACGATACGATACATGCATCAGCGACGAGCAGCAGACAGGAAGACAGCGGCAAAAAGGGAGAGGTGACTTTTGCTCCATTCCTAGTACGTTGCACGAAGCTTCATCCCCCTTTGCTCGATCGAACTAGCCATCTAGGCGAAAAATGTCAACTTGCAAATCTTAACACGGCGACTACAAAGCCTTCTACTTCCTTTAAGCTCGTATTGCTGCTGCTAGGATGGTCCAATGGGCACCCACTCCACTCTAGTAGCCATTGCTTTAATTTATCAGAGCAAATTAATGGACCCTGCATACATCAGCTGCACACATCCTCCCTCTTCTATCAAGCATTTTCTTATGGACAAATATACTAATCCCATGCTCAAATGATGTATTTTTGGGAATGAACTAGTTGGTTGGTGTATGTAACTGTAATCGATCTTCTGGTTAATTAATTTCAGTTTAAAGTTTCTCCAGGGTGAACTGAAGAGGCGTATGTACAGCATGCGCAGTTGCTGACTGGGGCTGCATGCCTCAGTCGATTGAGTCCACGTTTGTCACGTACGTAATGCGAAGTGCAAAGCGCAAATGGCGCATGCAGTGGCAAACACACGCATCAGGACGGCGTGGGTGAGGTGGATTCACTCAGTAGCTGGGACCTAATCCAAAAGAAAACGAGGCCGATTTAATCTGGACGATATCTTTGCGCTAATTCGTCGCTGAGATCATGCACACGCTTTGTTTAATCCAGCAGCATCGCTCGCTTTCTGCACAGGGAATTGTCGACCAAAAGGCAGCACGGGATTAAAGCGCGCGTACGTACGTGCGCGCGCGTCGCCCATAAAATCCATGCATTGCAACCTCTCGATCTCTCTCCATCTCGCTGTCTGCGAGCGACGACATGGCCGCTCTCGCCGTGCTGCTGCTGGTGGTTGCGGCGGTGGAGGGCGGCGCGGCGTGGTCGTTCTGGCCGCCGGCGGCCGGCGACGAGCCGTACTGCCTCAGCTGGCGGGTGATGGTGGAGGCCAACAACGCCAAGAACTGGCCCACCGTGCCGCCGCCGTGCGTCGGCTACGTCTGGAGATACATGGCGTGGGGGCAGTACGCCCGCGACGTGGCCGGCGTCGCCGACCAGATCGCCGCCTACGCCGCCCAGCTCGCCGCCGGCGACGACGGCCTCGACGCCTGGGTGTTCGACGTCGACGACACGTGCCTGTCCAACCTCTTCTACTACCAGGCAAAGCAATTCGGGTACAGAGATTGTGAGATTGTCATCACTGATCACTGATCAGACTAGCTAACATACGTGTAATCTATTACTCCATCCTGTTTGAGTTCACAACGTTTTGACTTTTGTCAGAGTTAAAATGTTTTTAACTTTAATTAAATTTGTAGAGAAAAGTAGTAACATTTTCAACCTAAAAAATTTTATTATAAAAATATATTCAATTATTGATTTGATAAAAACTAATTTAGTATTATAAATATTATATATTTGTCTATAAATTTAATCAAACTTAAAATAATTTAATTTTGAATAAAGTGAAAACGTCTTATAAGCTGAAACCGAGGGAGTAACTGTTAATTACTCCAATTGCTTGATGATCGATCGATGTGGATGCAGGGCGTATGATCCGGTGGCGTTCAAGAAGTGGGCGAGCAAGGCGATCTGCCCGGGGGTACCTGGCATGGCGCAGCTGTTCCAGATGCTCAGAGGCAGAGGATTCAGAGTCTTCATCCTCTCCGGCCGAGACCAGCAGACTCTCGCCTCCAGCACCGCCGCCAACCTCGCCGCGGCCGGCTTCGCCGGCTACGACCGGCTCATCATGAGGTAGACACAATAATATACTCCCTCCGTTTCAAAATGTTTGTCACCGTTGACTTTTTAGCTCATGTTTAACCATTCATCTTATTAAAAAAAAATTGTGAAATATGTAAAACTATATGTGTACATGAAAATATATTTAAGAATGAATCAAATGATATTAAAAGAATAAATAATTACTTAAATTTTTTTAATAAAATGAATGACCAAACACGTGCTAAAAAATCAACGGTGTCTAACATTTTGAAACGGATAAAGTATAAAAACATCATCAGAAAACATAATTGGGCCTAAATTAATACATACCCATATTGGGCCTAACTTAGTAGTACTGGATCGAACGGCCCAAAAGAATAAAAAAATTAAGGCCCATGTTCCATATTTGGCAAACGGGGGTAAGCGTCAGTCACCAATCAGCCAGCCTAAAAGGGGACAGACATTTCCATGGTGTGTGTACGTCGCACTGTACGAGATCGATCGTGCCAGTTTCTCGTCCTCATGGCCACGACACATTTCGTGCAAGATCATGATAATGGAATAAGAAAACAGGGAGCTGGATAATTAGCATATATTCTCAACTGCAGACAACTAGTACTAGAAGATATAGCTGATTGCTAATTTGCTTTCGACGGCACAGTGCGTCAAAGGATATTTTTTTGTAAGTACATCGAATTTGTGTGGACTGCAATCTGGAGTAGCTCGCAGTTTCGATGATTTGCACGTACGTGTGCCAATCTCATCAGCTGTAGGTAGCCTCTCACCGTCTGCATGCTTAATAAATTTTAAAGTTGATTTTAAGAGTTAATTTTGTTAGTCTATTTTCAGTATTGACTTTTAAACCAAATACATAATTTTAGTGGTTTCGTTTATTTTGAGCATGATAACTTGAACAATCAGGATATTACGTTCAAAATTAAATCTATTATATGCAGAAGCGCGGAGTACCGGGGAATGAGCGCGGTGGTGTTCAAGTCGGCGATGAGAATGCAGCTGATGGAGGAGGGGTACAGGATACGCGGCAATGTGGGTGACCAGTGGAGCGATCTGCAGGGTGACTTCGTCGGCGACCGTGTCTTCAAAGTGCCCAACCCAATGTACTTTGTTCCATGATAATATGATACTCTAATCGCCCATCAAACATGTGTTCGCACATACGCACTTCGTTACACGGAGTATATATGTAACTATTTCTTTTTTAGACAGAAAAAAAAGGTTGAGTAAATTACTTAACAGGTCTAGCTTGTATACGTAGCTGCTGCACTATCAATCTATCACTACTTGTGTACGCATGCAAGATGCATGGCAATAGCCAGACAGGAAGAAGCAGAGTCATCTTTCTTCTCTGAAACCACTCGCACAGAAACCAGTGTTATCTCTCGCGGAATCCTCCGATCCTTCTCCTAGATCATCACACTTTTCAAGTAAACAAACAACCACGTGTTGTGTTGATAACCAAATTTTACACTGGAGACAAGTTATAGCAAGCTTTAACCAAAATGAAACAATATCAGAACTTTTCAGCGAAGACCAGTCTAACCGTCATTACGTGACCGATCAGATCGAACAATGCACTGCGATCAGACCGCATGTATCCAGACGATCAGACCTTCAGCATAGAGTCCGAGTCTAATTTAGATACTTCTCGTGTTTCCTTGTTTTAGATCGAGATTTCATAACTGATTCATGAGCATAATTGGATATGGGAAAGACCCTAAAAACAAGTTCGCCACTCCTATAAATATAAGGGGACCAAGACTGATTGAAACAACAACTAATAATCGTCAAATCAATTTAGTATCTAAACCATGTATATTCTATATCTCTCCCCTTCTTGCTATCTATCCCAAGTCTATTATTCTCAAATCCCCCAATTGTTTGTCATATATTGTCTCTACGACGTTAGATGACATCGTAACTAGGCTGCCGAGTCTAGAACAAACCGACGTGTGTTTACCCTAACAAGATCCCTCCCAGGTGTTCGTTCGGTGACTTCTACACACTTGCTACGGCGGCGCATCTCCGGGTGCCGCTGCGGGTTGCACATAACGTGCTCAAGGTGCAGCAGCACAATTCTACGTTCGACACAGTTCGTAAAAAACAATAACATAGAAACATGCTTTATCTCTACCAAGGTTTACGATTCCGACAGGCCCTTTCGTTTCGGGCACTGGCGAAATTCGGAATTTCGCGAAATTCGGTAGAAAACCGGTAAATTCCAAATAAATTTCATAAACTAAAATTTGAATACAAATTCCCTGAGTTTGCCGACAAGTTTTAGCGAAATTCTGATCAAAATCATCGAAATTTCAATCAGTAATTTGTAATAGAGGTAATTTGCTGAAATTTTTTTCTTTCCTGATGTAAATTTCAGTAAATACACATAATACATCTTTTTTTCAAAAAAATTATATCCCAATAGGTTCTATGAATATCATAGTATTTATAAGATTTTTTTTTATCAATTCAAATTTGAATTTGAATGAAACTCCTCGAAATCTCAGACGGTTTCTACTTTCGAGCCTCGTCGAAACATCGAAATTTCGTGAAATCCGACCGGATTTCGTTAGAATCGTAAACCCTATTCTCTACTACTTTTAAAAGCAGAGTCATTATCCTCCTCCAAAACCATCACACTTTCTCAAGTAAAGCAAAATAAATGTGGCTAAAAAACATCGGTACAAATCCGATGATTTCTTTACCGCGGACTCGTCCTTTTCCAATCCTCCCGAACCATCATATTTTCTCAAAGAAAAAGAAAACAACATTTCTTTTTTTGCATTAAGAAAAAACAACCATGCCTTGAAAAACCACCTATGCAAAAACCGGTGATCGATTAAAAAACGATGTTCCCACTCGAAAATTGACTAAAAGAATTGGGTAGAAAAAATCAAAGCCATAAAACCGTTCGTTTTCGTCTTAACTATTGTAATTCATGTACATGATGCTGGTTAAAAAGTACTAGAATAACGTTTTCAGATGCGGTCCAATTTGTACCAATTGGGGGGAAAATCAATATCTATCTTCTGATTAGATGTTCTAACTAACGAATCAACACACATAGCTTCACTAGAACGCAACGCGATAAGTTATTTATTTTTTTCAGTACGTAATTATACTTACTGTCAGTAAATTTTTCAAGTTAAAGGCCACAATTATACTTACCCTTCGACATGCGGATTTACAAATGAAGCTCCCAGTTAGCTAATCCGCCACGTACGAACACACTCCCTATGTAAACACGCCCAAAAAAATATTGATAGCCTAGCATATATCTAGTTATCTATAACCAGTGATGGATCCAGAGAAAATAGTGGAGCTAACTGAATAAACTAGATAAAACATAAACCTCTATTTCCCTAGATATATGACAAATAATTTTAGAGGAGCCTCAGTGGGAGCTCTTATGTTCCTAACATCGGTAGTGGGGACTCGAGATCCCTTAAACCTATGGTAGATCCGCTCCTGTCTATACCAACTGAAGAATATCATCTGTAACGATTCGAGCACATGTTACAATGTAACAGCTATATACGTGACATATCATCTATAACGGATGAAGATTGGGATGCTCATCCGTAACGGCCGTCTATACCACTCATTACAGATGAGTGAGTCCGTAACGGTTCTCCGTAACCCGTTACAGATGACCTGACACATGGTTGAGAATCTGTGTGCTAGTGGTACGTACTTTCCAAGTCGACCCGAGGTGGGCCCGGGCGTGATATTTGTCTCTTCCCCGCGGCGAAACGGCCGGCCTCGCCGCACGTACGTTTACTCCCAGCCTCCCAAAGTTGGCATTTCATCGATCGAACTCTAGCTGTACCTCCTGCCTGCCCTGCCCTGCCCTGCCCTGCACTGCTCGATCGTACACACAGTTTCATTCCATCTCCACCAGCTAAAAGCAAGCCAGCCAGCCAAGCTCTGTCTTCCATCTTGCATACATCAACGTCAGAAAAATCATCAGATCGAGATATCGACATGGTGGTGGTGGTGGCGGCGGCCATGGCGGCGGCGAGCTTGTGCTGCGGCGTGGCGGCGTACCTCTACTACGTCCTGTGGCTGGCGCCGGAGAGGCTCCGCGCCCACCTGAGAAGACAAGGGATCGGCGGCCCAACCCCGTCCTTCCCTTACGGCAACCTCGCCGACATGAGGAGCCACGCCGCCGCCGCCGCCGGCGGCAAGGCTACCGGAGAAGGACGACAAGAAGGCGACATCGTGCACGACTACCGGCAGGCCGTCTTCCCCTTCTACGAGAATTGGAGAAAACAATACGGTACGCACGTGTATATCGATCAACGATCATATATCCCTGCTAGCTGCTGTTTGATTGGTTGCATGCTACTACTGCTCTGCCCATGCTGTGTGATCTTCGTCTTCCTGCCTCTACATAAAACAGAACTCACCCTGATTTAGAACAAGAAAAGAATAATAACAGAATTGCTAGGTTTCTTGCGACATTTTTTTTTTTGAAAGAAAACTTTTGATTTTTGGACCGTTAGAACTGCTATAAGATTCATGTAGGAAAGTTATAATGTGATTGTACCTTTGCTATATTTGATTTTTTTTAAAAAAAAATTGCGCCAGATTTTTAAGATAGTTTTTTTAGGGGAAAAGGAGATATATTACTCATATATGGCGTCAACACGCGCTAAATGCATGATGAAATTACAACTGTTTCCTAGCCAAACATTTGACAAGGATTCACATCTAGCTTTATTTGCTAACAAATGACTGATCCCATTTTGGCTGCCATGGATCTTCATTAGCTTAATCTCCCTGCTCCCAGAAAGGAGATAGTTAGGTCATGTGTGTGTAAGGAAGAAGAATCTGCCCGGTGGTAAAGGAGTAATCAACGGCTGTAATCAATCGATTTAATTACTAATAATCATTAGTATTAATCATTTCCAACTTTCGGTAATGAATGGATTTAAATATATATAGTGAAGATTTGGTTCTTTCTACAAAGTAAATAGTGGAGTACTACTACTATATATGAAAAGTTTCAGAGTACGTATACTATACGTCCGTTCATTAATAGAGCAACAAAAGCATATGCATGCTGATAGGAAAGTTTATCTATCCCTCGTTTTTGCATGCTGACTGTAAATACTGCATATATGTAAAGTCAAATTTATTTTTTAATCTATGCAAGTAGAATTTAAACATGCATTTAAGTATAACGATACTACTATATCTATATTATTAAATATTTTCTTATGACTTACTAAGTGATATGCACCAAACAAGGAGCCGTCTCCTTTAGGGTAGTTGTCGATTTCGAGCATTCATATCAATTGAAAAAGTTATTACAAAAATTAAAAAAAAACAAGTCACTCATAAAGTGTTATTCATGTTTTATCATCTAATAACAACAAAAATATTAATCATAAAAAGAATTAAATAAAACGGACGGTCAAACGTTGAAAAAAAACCCACAACTATATTTAGAATGAGACAGAGGAAGTAATTGATACCAGTAGTGCAATATAGGGCATGTTTAGATCCCCTAGCAAAATTTTACATCCTATCACATCGAATGTTTGTACAAATGCATTGAGTATTAAATATAAACGAAAAAATAACTAATTGCACAGATTACGTATAAATTGCGAGACGAATCTTTAAAGCCTAATTGCGCCATGATTTGACAACGTGGTGCTACAATATACATTTGCTAATGACGGATTAATTAGGCTTAACAAATTCGTCTCGCGGTTTACAGACGGATTATATCATTTATTTTGTTATTAGACTACGTTTAATACTTTAAATGCATCCATATATCCGATGTGACATATCAAAACTTTATCCCATATATCTAAACACAGCCATAGCATTATTGAGCCGTCAGAATCATGGGCAGTCTCTGTGGTGTTTTGTACTGTGTCTGGGTTTGCTTCATTTAATTGCACCGAGTTCCATCGACGAGCTAGCGATAGAGAGATTTGCCATGGTATGTCATTACCACGGGAAAGTTGTGTCCTTTTCAGGAATCGTAGCTTGCCAGCGTTGCACGCACAGCCAGCCACTGTACGACTGTCTAGATAGCCGGCCGATTGCACGACGTGATCGATCGAAATATATTTTCCTCGTCGATTGATAGCGAAGTTCATGTAACTAGCAAACAGCAGCACGATCTCAGCTCACATGAACCAGCAAATTATAAACATGCCCCCAGTTTGGAGCAAATTAAACGGCTCCAGGCATACGTGCGGTGTACTCCTGTTCATAAATGACCTGCGCGCACTGCAGCTAGCTAGTGCAGGTGTGTGACTCTTTGATGTGGATTTGATCCGTCCTCCCGATCCGCTAGCGTCAATGGAGGAGCTACCCAGCTTTCATGTCAGCTAGTGTAGTTTTGTCATGTTGTGAACATTCGTCCAAGTAGACTAATGGTATATTACTACCTTCATTTCATATTACAAATCGCTTTAATTTTTTTCTAGTCTAATTTCTTTTTAGTTCTTTCAGTAAAGGGAACGAAGAATATAGCGTGTACTTTCAATTTCCAAGCACATGTTTAGATAAAAGGGATAGTTTGAAAGCTTTGTAACCGACTGGTGCATCTTAATTTTGCTCTTGGTGTTAGGCCCGGTATTCACGTATTCAGTAGGGAACATGGTGTTCCTGCACGTGAGCCGGCCGGACATAGTCCGGGAGCTGAGCCTGTGCGTGTCGCTGGACCTCGGCAAGAGCTCGTACATGAAGGCCACGCACCAGCCTCTCTTCGGCGAGGGCATCCTCAAGTCCAACGGCAACGCCTGGGCTCACCAGAGAAAGCTCATTGCCCCCGAGTTCTTCCCCGACAAGGTCAAGGTCGGTGTATCTTCTCAAGGATAGTAAAATCACTGGCTCGTTAATTAATCTTCCAAACAACATCTGCAAGCTTAGTTTGCAAATGATCGATCGATCTGATGTATTTTCACTAACAAATTAGTGTCTCTTAATATGCAAATGTGATCATGTAGGGTATGGTCGATCTGATGGTGGACTCGGCACAGGTCCTAGTCAGTTCATGGGAAGACAGGATTGACAGAAGTGGCGGGAATGCACTGGACCTGATGATTGACGATGACATCAGGGCATACTCTGCTGATGTGATCTCCAGGACATGCTTCGGTAGCAGCTACGTGAAAGGCAAGCAGATCTTCGACATGATCAGGGAGCTGCAGAAGACGGTGTCCACCAAGAAGCAGAACCTGCTCGCCGAGATGACCGGGCTCAGCTTCCTCTTCCCGAAGGCGAGCGGCCGCGCGGCGTGGCGGCTCAACGGGCGTGTCCGCGCCCTGATACTCGACCTCGTCGGAGAGAACGGGGAGGAGGACGGTGGCAACCTCCTCAGCGCGATGCTCCGGAGCGCCAGAGGCGGCGGCGGTGGCGGCGGCGAGGTCGCCGCCGCGGCCGAGGACTTCGTTGTGGACAACTGCAAGAACATCTACTTCGCCGGGTACGAGAGCACGGCGGTCACCGCCGCGTGGTGCTTGATGCTGCTCGCGCTTCACCCTGAGTGGCAGGACCGGGTGCGAGACGAGGTGCAGGCGGCGTGCTGCGGCGGCGGCGGACGGTCGCCGGACTTCCCGGCACTGCAGAAGATGAAGAACGTACGCCGCCGACACGCATCAAATTGTTGGCATTGAAGCTCGCCGAAGCTGATATGATCGTGCTGTTTAATTTGCAGCTGACGATGGTGATCCAGGAGACGCTGCGGCTGTACCCGGCGGGCGCGGTGGTGTCGCGGCAGGCGCTGCGGGAGCTCAGCCTCGGCGGCGTGCGCGTGCCGAGGGGCGTCAACATCTACGTCCCGGTCTCGACGCTGCACCTGGACGCGGAGCTGTGGGGGGGCGGCGCCGGCGCGGCGGAGTTCGACCCGGCGCGGTTCGCCGACGCCCGGCCGCCGCTGCACGCGTACCTGCCGTTCGGCGCCGGCGCGCGCACCTGCCTCGGCCAGACCTTCGCCATGGCAGAGCTCAAGGTGCTCCTCTCGCTCGTGCTCTGCAGGTTCGAGGTGGCGCTGTCGCCGGAGTACGTGCACTCGCCGGCGCACAAGCTCATCGTGGAGGCCGAGCACGGCGTGCGCCTTGTGCTCAAGAAAGTGCGGTCCAAGTGTGATTGGGCTGGATTTGATTAGTAAATTTCGGCCTTTGTGCGCAGCGGCTTTCAGCCCATTTAAATTATAGGCCGAAATACAGGCCTGTCCATGTGTGTAGGCCGGGATTTTAGTTCAAAATTCGGCCCATATGCTAAGGAGGCCTACTTTACAGCGGATAATATGCAGTGTAACTGGCAAACCTAGAAACTATCGATGAATGAAAATAGGGGGGCGCGATCGCCTAGGATCCGGCCCCCCTCCCCCTATACTCCTCCCTACCCTCTCCTATTCCTCCTCCCCTTCTCCTCTTTCTACTATAGTAGACCACACAATTTTTTTTTGAAAAACAAAAGTTAGAAAAATTTATGTATAGAAATATTATATATAAAAATTTGAATTTAAATTCAAATTTGAATCGGGTATGTAAACTTTTGACTTATAAACTTTGGGTCTATAAACTTTAGGTGTATAAACTTTAGATGTATAGAAACTATATATAGAAAATATTTGAATTCAAATTTAAATTTGAATCAGATATAATTCAAATTCAAATTTGAATCGGGTATATAAACTTTAGGTCTATAAATTTTAGGTCTATAAACTTTTTAGGTGTATAAACTTTAGATGTATAGAAATAATATATATGAAAAAAATTCAAATTTAAATTTGAATCGGATATTTGAATTCAAATTCAAATTTGAAACGGGTATATAAACTTTTGACCTATAAACTTTAGGTCTATAAACTTTGGGTGTATAAATTTTAGATGTATAGAAATACTATATATATATAAATATTTAAATTCAAATTCAAATTTGAATCGGATATATAAACTTTTGACTTATAAATTTTTGGTCTTTAGATGTGTAAACTTTAGGTGTATAAATTTACTAAAATAAGAAAGTAATGCGGTGTCAAAAAAGGAAACAAGGTGGAGAGGTGGAGGGAGGGAAGGGAGGGGGCGCAAAACTGATCTCCCTAGGCGATCGCTCGCCCAGTAGCATTCCTGATGAAAATAGACGTATGAGATTTATCCACATCACAATTAGTAAAATATTCATTCCTAAAATTAACTATTATGATGTAGTAGAACAGAAGTTTCACTACTGATGATGACGTGAATAAATTTCACACATCTATTTTGTATATCTTATGATAGTATTAGGTTTCGACTATATTTTTGTAGTTTACAAGCTAAACTTTTCTCTAAGGTCGTTTGATAATCATTATAGCTCCCGAATGTCGTGACAAACATAATTTTGACGCGTCGGGCAGGGTTAGTTGAGCATTGAGTGCTTGTCATGGAGAAAATGACTCAGGGTTCAGGTGGCCCCCATTCTTCTCACGGATTGAGCTTCATTTAGTTGCATGCATGTAGACCACTAGACTACTCCATCTGTCCCACGATATAAGAGATTTTGAGTTTTTACTTGTAACGTTTGACCACTCATCTTATTTATTTTTTTTTAAATATAAAAAATGAAAAGTTGTGCTTCAAGTATTGTGGATAATAAAGTAAGTCACAAATAAAATAAATAATAATTTTAAAAAAAATTAAATAAGACGAGGGGTCAAATGTTGTAAGCAAAAACCCTTATATTATGAGACGGAGGGAGTAGTTGTACAGCCAAGTAGCCGACAGCCACCCACTCGGCATGAGCGTCTAGGCGCGCTGACAACTTAATCCACATTAAGAGGAGATTAAGAGAAAATGAGGTATAGTGCAAACCGTTCTACGAGTATGGCCTCGATCACAACTAATGAAGATGAAAATCAAGTTTTAATTATTATAAACTTAACAAATACTCTCTCCGTTTTTTAATAGATGACGCCGTTAACTTTTTCTCATATGTTTGATCATTCGTCTTATTCAAAAATTTTATGCAAATGTATAAGATATAAATCACACTTAAAGTAGTATTAGTGATAAAACAACTCATAACAAAATAAATTATAATTACGTAAATTTTTTGAATAAGACGAACGGTCAAACATGTGAGAAAAAGTCAACGGTGTCATCTATTAAAAAATGGAGGTAGTATATTTTTAAATATGGCATCAGGTTTTGAACTGATAGCAGGCTCATCTATTGACTATTACAGTGGGTGAAAGCTGTTGGTTATGATGTGGGACTGCCCAGCATTTGCTCCTCAAGCTTTAAACAAGGAAGACTTGGTTGCATTCTGAAAGAAAAAGAGGTCAACTGCAGCAGGTCACGCGGCAGGCAGAGATTCTACGACAAAGCATCGCTTTACTACTGGAGTATACAGGTTTTCAGGAGCACTTGAGTTTTTTCTTTTGAGAACGGAGCAAAGTTGTATGTGCTGCCATTTCTCGGTTACAGGCAAGGAAATGCATAGAAGTTGCATTGCTCTGTCCTTGTCTCTGCTCTGCCCCGCGCAATTAACTCTGCACCCTTTTTTTTTCCTCGCTTAATTCTCGACTGTTTGTGTAATTACATAAGACAAAATTGCTAGTAGATCCAAGCTTAATGGCAGCACGTGAGATACTATTGTACCCCAATCAAACCTAACACATCTTAACAAATCCCATTTGAAGGAAGGCACATAATAACAGCGTGTTTGGAGGGTTTTGATCAAGTGGCCAATGCAGAAGTAGTTGGCAGATGGTGCCTACTGGCTAGAATTCGGCGATCTAACCTGAAAACGAACTGAAATGCGCATGTGAAGGGAGTAGTTTGAGCGAGTGTGATTGTTCTTGCAACAAAGAAAGCAAAGGTAATTAAGGTCGATGGAATTTCTCAGATTAAATGGCGCTTTAAAATGGAGATGGGTATGGTAGGCAATCAATTTCCCGGGGGAAAAAGAAGAAGAAAAGAAACTGACATGTCGCTAAAAAAACTGCTCCGCCTCCGCGTCCCCCGGCCGCACGCGTCGCGCTCTGTGCTGCTATAAACGACGAGAGCCTCGCCGCGCACTCGACGCGCATCTTCCGAAATAGAGAAATTGCCACGGATCGAGGGCGACCGATAATGGAAGGCGAGCAGCAGCAGCAGCAGCAGCAGAGCGTCGCGGCGGTGAGGCCGTCGCTGGGGAAGGCGCCGTCGCCGTCGTTCCGGCTCCGGAACGGCAGCCTCAACGCGGTGCGCCTCCGCAGGGTGTTCGACCTGTTCGACCGCAACGGCGACGGCGAGATCACCGTGGACGAGCTGGCGCAGGCGCTGGACGCGCTCGGCCTCGAGGCCGACCGCGCCGGCCTGGCCGCCACCGTCGGCGCCCACGTCCCCGACGGCGCGGCGGGGCTCCGGTTCGAGGACTTCGAGTCCCTCCACCGCGCCCTCGGCGACGCGCTCTTCGGCTCGCTGGACGTCCCCGAGGACGGCGGCGGCGGCGGCGGCGGCGACGAGGAGATGAAGGAGGCGTTCAAGGTGTTCGACGTGGATGGCGACGGGTTCATCTCCGCCTCCGAGCTGCAGGAGGTGCTGAAGAAGCTCGGGATGCCGGAGGCCGGCAGCCTGGCCAACGTGCGGGAGATGATCTGCAACGTCGACCGCGACAGCGACGGCCGCGTCGACTTCGGCGAGTTCAAGTGCATGATGCAGGGGATCACCGTCTTTGGCGCCTGACCACTTCTTCCATCCAGGGTAGCCATGGCATCCGCTCACCCTCACCTAGTAAGTTTCCTCACTGAAGAAGTCCCTCCAAACATTTTTTCAAGTAGAAATTATGAACGTGTTAGGGATTGAATACGGAACATCGGGGTTGAAACCACACGCCCTTTACGACTACACTAATAAGTTTCCTCACTAGTTTTTGATGAAGATAAAAGCTTCCATTGAATTTTCAAGTCAAGTTCAATTCACACCGATTTGCTAGTATGAAATTCAACATTTTTCACTGTGTACTGCAGGCTTCTGAAGTTCTGAAAACAAAGACGTAAGAGAAGGCACTAGCCAATACTAGATCGCAGCCAAGATCAGTAGGTTCGGTGTAATCTTTTTAAGCTTAAGGCAAGGCAATTCCACTTTTGTTGCAGCTACGACCTTATCCCTGTTAGTGCCTGTTTTGTGCATCGGAATGCAGTGCAGGGCCTGAGTTTCGTTTTCTGTGGCCTTCATTCGCACAACTTGTTGTGTGGTGAGGTGGTGTTGATATTATACATCTACATGGACGTACGCTTGCTAATCTAGCGAATAGTGATGTGGATGTTCTTGACCCTAGCTATCTCTAACTTTCACGTCAACCTTAAAAATTCGGTGTTTGGTTTTTATCTTCCCTTTCAATAGCAATCCTTATGTTTCATTTAGATTATTGGGTGGATTATATTGCTGTGGTTTATCAACTTGATAGATAGGTAAACTAAATAATTCAAGAAATAAAATTATCAAATAGCTGAATACAAGCTGTCCAAGTAATAGAGTAGAAGAAAATTTTGTTGAGACAACATATATTTTGAAGCGTAAAGCAAATTATCTGTTTCAATATTTGGGCGAAAAAAGTTGAAAATAACATGGTCACTTTCACGCTTGCATTGCATGGAAATGGAGGCACCCAAATTGCTCGGTAACTTGTTTTCCTGGAGGATATTACTACTCCATGTTAGGACCCTGATTGAAAGTGAAACACAAAAATTTTACAGTTGTTATTTTGTAGAATATAAGGAGCCATGCAGGTCCCCAAAATGCTTGGCAACTTGTTTATCTGTCTTTTTTTTATTAAAAAAAGGTCGTTACTTCATTTACATTCCTGATTGAAACACAAAAAAAATTGCTGCAGTAAATTTGTAGGAATACAAAAGGTACCACAGCATAGCATATTAGCACATCACACTAGTACTAGCTAGTAGCGCCAGTGTGCCCACAGGCCGTATATACGGCCCAGTTCGGCGTGAGACTTGCTGGGCTGTGGCGAAAGGCTGAGTGACACCAATATTGGGCCTCAGTAGATATCAAAAGGAATAAGTCTGTTTGTCTCCCTCTTGTCTTTCTGTTTATTGAATCGTCTCACTCAACCGTAAAATTGGGTATAACACTTCTCTCGTCTTTCAAAACTGGTGCACAACATAATAAACTTATTTGGTTTTACTGTTGAGAGAGGTGATTTAATCGGGAGCAAGAGATGAGGGAGGGCCATTAAATTATTCCATAACAAAAGGCCTTCCAGTCGCGCACTAGCCCAACACAATTGTGAAAAATGGATGAGACAGATGGGCTGTTAGCCACAGGCCGGTATCAGAAAATCCAATGGCCCATGGACGAGCTACCAGTTTGTTACGGCCTACTACCGTAAGAGCATGTATAATAGCAGCCTATAAGCTAGCTATAAATATATATTTTAAATAGATAAATGAATAGAGATAAGAGCAGTACGGACTCCAATACGTAATGTGTGTATGACAGGTATGATCAGATATTAATACTATAGTAAACAACTATTGTATGAATTGTATATTATATTAGCTATAGATAATTTGCAGCTATTAATTGGCTATACTATTAAACTTGTCGTAAGTGTCAATGTGTCATACTGTCATGTCAGTACTGAATCACTGCTAGTAGTACACTTTATAATAGTGTGTCATTGACGAAGTTTGTTTGTTTTTTTTTTACAAAAGGTCAACGTTCTTATCGGCGGGGTTACAAGGAAGGACAACGTGTTAATCATCCATTAGCAGCTGGTCTTTGCATCGTGTGATGACCATCATTTCTCATTGAACGAGTGACCAACTCGATGATTCTGTCAGTCCCAGTGAGCGTGATTGTTTTGGTTGCATATCGATCGCCCCGACCCTACCGAAACACATGGAAAATATCAAGCGGCTCGACATTTTTTCGTTGAAATCAAAAAAGAGAACTTGTGCAACTGTTTAACTTTAATTGCACTAAAACACTTTTGAAGTCCCAAAATATTGATATCTATGTGACATATCCTAACACTCTAAATTTAAATACAATGTGTTCATCTATCACTAGATGATAATATTTTAATAGAGATATAGTATTAGACAACATAGAAGAAACAAGTGTCATTTTAACGTGGCATTCGAAACCAACTTACATCGGCTATGAAATTTTATTAGGAAAATTGGAACCATGCCATTATAATTTTGTAAAATTTGAGATATGTCATCCTGACCCACATGTCATTGACTCATGTGGGTTCTAGATGTCATTGAGATACCGATGACATATCTCAAACTTTGCAAATTTATAATGGCATGGTTCCAATTTACCCAATTTTTATTTCTACGTCAACAAAGAGACAAAGCACAAAACAATTGTAAAGGGAAGCTTAAAGCGGGCGCAAGATCTGAAAAATGACTATAGCAAAGGTTTACTATGTTCGTTGGTCTCACAAATGACAAACACGAAAAAAACGTTGCGTCAGCTCATACGTCTGCCGTGGCCACAGCTCTCCAGATCCGTTGAACCTTAGCATGTGCTACTTTATTACGCAGAGAAACTAATCCACATCAACACACCATCACTCGCACAAAACACACTAATAAATGAATTCACACAATCCTAAGCATCATATTTTATCAATCCGTTTAAAAACCATTGAAAACGTAACAGCGATACACATAGATTCTCAACAAGATGAACACACAGGTGCCACTCTTTTTCCCCATTGTGAGCCAACAGCTATAACGGTTTACTACATGGGACACCATTTCTTTCCCAATCATTCGTGCTTGGTCACAGTCACCCGATGATTTTGTCCGGTCTCCGCGTCCGGGCCCACCTGACAGGCGTGCCCGACCCTCGGATCAGATCGGACGGCCCAGATCGATCTGCCCCGCCATTTTCATAAACGCCACCGCCCGCACGAATCGGAAGACTCGAGAGGGGCGGTCCATCCACGTGAGGAGGACACAGTTGCAAATTTCCAAATCCAAACCCTCGTCGGCGTCGTCACCGTGGCGGCGACGGCGGCGGCGGCGGCGATGGTGCCCGCCGGGGGCGGGGGAGGGGAGCTGGAGAGGAGGGTGATGGCGGCGCTGAAGGCGTCGGAGGCGCGTGGGGACCAGCCGCTGGTGTGGGCGGTGGAGGTGGCCCGCGTCGTCGCCGGGGAGGGGGCGGGGCTCCCCAGCGCGGACCTCGCCGGGATCCTCGTCTCCAACCTCTGCTTCGCGCACAACTCCCCCTCGCTGTGGAAGCTCGTCGGCCACGCCGTGGCCTCCCGCCTCCTCTGCCCGCTCCACGTCCTCGCGCTCCTCACCCCGAGGTCGGCGGGGGTCCCCTTTTCCCAGTTCGTTCGTGGCGCGGATTCGGTGATCTTCCCAAGCATTTTGTGAGTGACTCCTTGGCGATGGTGGGTTTTTGCAGGGTGCTGCCGCAGCGGCGGGCGCAGCCTGAGGCGTACCGGCTCTACCTGGAGTTGCTGAGAAGTAACGTCACATCCTCCTTTCTCTCCATGGAGGCCGGGCCTAATCGAGACAAGTAAGAGTTCTGCTTTGGAATGTGACATCGGAAAGTGTGCGGTCATGAACTTTCTCAAGGGCACAGCACAATCAGTAGCTATGATTGAATTTTGAACTGGCTCGAAATCACGAAATCTCATGATTTTTGATCGGTTTTCAACAAAATTGTAAACCCTGCACCGCCAAATTCAAAGTAGGGGTATACTGCAATTGCCTGTACTTCTGTAGTATGAACAACAGAGCAGAACGTACTAGTCGCTTGTATCCTGCTGGATGTTGCTAAAATGGAATTGCTGTTTTTTTTTCCTCAGGATAACAAAGTCCATCGATGATGCTTTGCAACTGTCAAAGATTTATGGATTTTCTGGAATCGACAATGGACATGTCATCATTTTCTTTATGATGTTTGTAATCACCAAACTGATCGATTGCACACTTGAAGACTGTGGCTTTCCATCCGGGCTGACAGAGGAGCAGGGGAGCATTTACGCTATTGAAGGGCCACAGGATATGGACTTAGATGTCAAAGGGGTTTCAACTGAGAAGCAAAACGAGCACCGTGCACAACTACGCCGGAAGAACACTGTTATGGCTTTAGATGTGTTGATTATGATGGTTGCTGATAGGAAGATCCAATCATTTCTGCGCTTGATATTCCTGAACATGTAAGTCATGCTCAGTTAGAGGAAATTGCTATCCAAATATCCAATTCTAAGTTTTTTTTTTATTGATTCATATCATCGCAAATTTCCTAAGAACCTTTAAAGAATACACCTTTTCTCCTGACATACTTTGTGCGTGACGCACATTACAAATGCCTGCTAATGAGACAGTTTTTCTAGGTTAGGCCTGAAAAGTTCAGTGTGTTAAGCCAGAGGTTGAGCTTGGTTGAAGCTCACAAAATGGAATTGGAGACACTATTGACTGCTAATCATAAAATTGATGATCTGTTGATGAATATGTGGAGGGTTAGCAATACAGCCTATCAACCAAACAACAAAAGGCTTTTGGGTGTTCTTGGTAACATGAAATATGGTGGCTCCATGCTGGGCCAGTTTACTGGAGCTGGGAGAGCTGCATGCTGGGTTATATTTGACATATATGTTGAGAATGCAATTGATGGAAAACATCTAAGCGCCATATCTGCTATCGAGGTTCTGAAAGGTGTGCATACACAATCCGATTAATTGACATAAATTTTGCCTTTGTTTTTCTGTATTCATTCTTTAAAATGGCTGCAATACATTGAACTATCTGTGTGCCGTGAGTTCATCTTAAATGTTGGCTAGCAATGTCGATGAACATGGTTTTTGTAACCAACACCGCCTTACTGTCAATTCTTTATGAGATAACATGTTTTTATTGACTAATATCATGTTGCTCTTAATCAGAAATGACCAAGACACTCCAAGCAATTAATGAGGCGAGTTGGCAGGAAACCTTTAAAGCTCTTTGGATTTCTGCCCTTCGCCTTGTACAGCGGGTAAATAGACCTTTTCTGTATTGGCTATTATTGTTGAATACACACACACACACACACACACACACACACACACACACTTCTATTGTGTCTCACATGTAAATGTTCTAAATAGGCTAGAGAACCTCTCGAAGGACCAATTCCTCATCTAGATTCAAGACTATGCATGCTATTAGCTCTTATTCCATTATCAATTGGTGCAATTCTTAAAGAAGAAACTGATGTCCATGGAGCTCAAGGAAGCAAAAGTCTTCCAAAAACATCAGGACTTGTATCATCACTCCAGGATTTGATCCAGTATTCAGGACTTCTAGTACCTCCTTCATCAGTGGTAAATGCAGCCAATGCTGCAGCCTCAAAAGCAGCA